TTCAGTGAACTCCCATGCACCCTCCAAGACCCTGCAGAGAGGACAGATTTGGTCCAGTGTGCCACAGTCAGGATCTCAGTATCCTCCTGAATCAGAGGTTCGACTATCCAGCGGATCCTCTCTCTAGAACGCCTCAATAGACATTACCAGGGAGGCTTAGAAGTGTGATCTCTCTCTCTGGCAACCACCACCCTGGTTTGCCAATCTAGCATTACTAACCCCATGTTCACGCAATATTGCAGAGTCACTTCAACCACACACCCCTTTTGAGATGCCAGATTGCAGACCAGAATTGCCTCAAAGCCGTTCAGACGTAATTTTCTATGGCCTCACCAATAGGGTTGGGCATCGTTTGATTTAGAACATTCCGATTCCAATTCCTCGTTTCGATTCCGGTTCCTATCGATTCCCGATTTCGATTCTTTCAAGACATGACATGCTTTACATGAGCCAGCTAACCACAGGTCCTACTTGATGAAATAATCTTAACTTCAACATGAATTTTAATTCTATGAACAACAACATCACCTTCATTTAGACAAAAACATGTTTTGGAGAAAAAAAGAAAAAGACTTGCAGCACAACCAGTGTGTTTGTTTCTGACCACAACCAAAGTCTGGAACAAGCCTCTGGGATGAGAGGCTAAATGTCTCCAACATATCCAGAAACGTCCAGCTGTTTTCAGCTAAAACTCTCAGGATGATCATGTCCAGGATGACTGAGAACTACACCTCCATGCTGCAGCAGCATTCAGTCAGAACAGGAAGTGAAACTTAAATGTAGCTGCTGTCAGTAACAATCTATCAGATTTTAAACATTAAAACTCAACAGAAATATCAGAAAGGAAATAAAAATGTTTACAGCTTTTTGTGTCATTTATTATTATTATTATAATTATTTATTGTGGCAGAAGCTGGTGTGGTCCACCACAGAGAAGCTGCTCTAGCAGGATGACTTTAATTATTCTACAGGTTAATGTTCAGACTGCTGATGCTCTGTGTGTGTTTTTATTTCTGCAGTGAGACAAACTCACCTCACACCGTCCAGAGTTTGTTCTTTAAAGTTTCTATTAAATCCACCGTGTTGACGTATTTTAACAAGTTTCCTCCACGAGTTAAAGTTTACATTAACGGAGTAAAAGTTTGGCAGACGCGTTTGTTTATATCTTGCTGCTGCGTGCTGGGTGGGGGGAGGGGGGACTCGGTGCTGCACACAGACAGCTGGTGTGATCAGCTGTGAAAAGCTTTGATCACAATTTGCAGATCACGTTTATTTTTCATGGAGATCGGCCGCAGATTCCTCTTCCGGTCGGCACACTGGGAATCGAAATAAAAAACGTTGAGCGATTCCGGGAAAAATGAACAGTTGGAACCGGTTCCAATCGATGCTCGATTGTCGATGTCCAACTCCAACCCTACTCACCAAACTCCTCCCATTCCCAAGTTTTTCTTAGCTGTCTGTCACTCACCGCCATAGAAACCCCATCCCCCCGTTCCGCCAGGCAACACCTCCTTGTGGCACATTTTTCAAACAGGAAATGTGGGCGGAGTGAGATTCTGGTAAAGGGGGCGGTGACTATGGAAGCTATAGAAATAAAAATAAAGAGGTTGAACATCGTCATGATTGGAAATAAATTATTTAAAATATATTTACAAAACAGTTTCTCGAAAATCATGAAAGGCTGAGAAGGAAGCATTTAAAAATATAATGTAATAGACAGAGTCATAAGCACAGAGGTATGTTATTCATATTTTCTAGAAATTTTTTTTACACTTTGCACTGGATAAAACTGTGCAACTCATGGAGTCTGATGTCACTGATGTTTAATGTGAACACGTCTTCAGGAAAAGTGCAACAAGCTGCTCTTCACACCAACACCAGAAGTTGCTGTAATGATTTTCGTTTGCTCACTTACCCTTTTCTCACTGTGACAAGCTCTTTTAGATGCCTCTGTTCATTCACAAATACATTTATGGAGATGGCCAACCTTGTGCTGATGTTTGTTTACACACAACCAGCAAGTCACCACTTCCTCACTGGTTATTTTAAAACAATGCAGCCCCCACCCCTCCACATCACAACTATATACAAACTTTGCTCGGTGCCTTCACCTCTTACCAAGCTGGAGATTTAACAGCAGTAGGTGAACTCTATCCATCATTACACACGTATCACATCCAGGCAGAACATTTGTATTCAGGAGTTCTTTCAAAACATCAGTTAGGACCTAAGAGTGTAATTTAAGTGAACCAATAAGACTGTGATTTAAGGGATGTTAGCTAAAATAAATGAGGTTTGTTCATAATTAGCTGGTTCTTCACACACATGTTGCATTTTGATCATTAATCATGCCTGAGGTTTTTTCATGTAGTTTCACCATTATCACTTTAAACCTGTAATGGTTTTCCGTTTGCTTGTATCCCTCCACCTGTCTGAATGTTGGAGTATGTTGGTTTGCTTAGAGTTACTGTGGAATTACTGCCATCTTTTTCACATTTTTTACAATGTTTGTCTTGCAGATTTAACAAGTGCTGACTGACTTCTGGCTGTCTTGGCTCCTCTAATGGGTCTTTACCATTAGTACCCATTCAGCAGGGCACCACTCATGTCAGCAAGGTTTCAGGCTGTTTACCTTGGGCCATGTTTGCCCTTTCCATTACTTGCTTTGATGCGGTTCAATGTGTAAAGAGCCAGGCTGACAACACAATGTCAGAGACTGGTTGCTCCAGAGTTTTCTCCCCCACTGCTTGCTTGTGTTTTTGTGGTGGGTGCAGAACACCTCACCCTATGGCTTACTGTCTGCTATGACGAGCCCCTCCCATTAGATCAATTCCTCAGTTGTCTAGGGTCTGTATTGTTTATTATTACCAGATATGAATGTTTTTGTGACCGATAGTCCACTTAAATTGTGTTCACATCACCGTACCAGCATCATTCCCTATTCATGTGTGTAAAAACAACTCAAATAGCATTTGTTATTTCTCATGTGTCCCTTTAAGATAGCTGCATTTTGCTCTGTTACCACCTTTGAATACTGTCAGTGTTAGGTGTGACCTTTCTGAATATTGGGTTAGAAAACACCCTCACACCACATGTGTGTTAATAATGCTGGCTTGCCACTGAACTAAGCAGTCAGACAAGGTTCCCCATTCCTCTGAAAAAAGGTGTTCTGTTGCTGCTGGACTCGGACTCTTATCTGTAACTTAAATATAGGTGCTCGGTCCAAAGTCGAGATGTTTCTGCACCAGTTTGTGTTCATGTTTATGAAGAGTATTCCAAAAGCCTTTGATGAAGTAGATAAACAACTGAGTAATCTGCTCCATCTGGGGGCTCTCCACCTTGTGTTCTCTTGATCAGTTATCAGAGGATAATAAACACACAAGGGCCAACCTCTACATCCCTCAGTAAATATTGCACGGCACTAGTAAGCCTGTTTGTTTTGAAAATAAAGCACAAGAAGCTTAAAAGATGGCAGGATTTTTTGTGGTTTGAGAGGAATTCGGATTAGACTTGAAGCTGAGTTCTCACACCAACAAAAGTAGCATTTGAACAATCCCTGAAAGTCTTCAAGTGGATTTTTGGCAATAGTCTTCCAAACCCAATCCAACGTTGCGATTTTTGCAGAGCTCTTGACTGGCCCAGGATCTGTTGTGTGAACTATTTTACACATCCAGGTTTACCCCAGGTTTTTAAAAAAGTGTTACAGCGGCAGCATTAGGTGTCAACAGGGAACGGGAGTTAGGGGAACCTGATGTTTTAGCAGATGGAGCGACGCATTTGGTTGTTTTACTGGTGTTTTTCTTTATGTGGTGCTGCTACAGCCAGTATCATTCATGGCTGTGGTTGTCTTTTAGACACTATTGCTGCTTCTTGTTCAATTCCTCATCTGCTGATCATTTTCTTTTCCTCACAGCACTTCTTGTGTGCATGCGTGCGTGCGTGCGTGCGTGCGTGCGTGCGTGCGTGCGTGAGAGAGAGAGAGAGAGAGAGAGAGAGAGAGAGAGAGAGAGAGAGAGAGAGAGAGAGAGAGAGAGAGAGAGAGAGAGAGAGAGAGAGAGAGAGAGAGAGAGAGAGAGAGAGAGAGAGAGAGAGAGAGAGAGAGAGAGAGAGAGAGAGAGGAGAGAGAGAGAGAGAGATGAGAGAGAGAGAGAGAGAGAGAGAGAGCAAAAAAATTAGGGCTGGGAGATATGGCCCCAAAATCTATATTGCAATATAATCTGAAGCATGTGCGATAATGATATTTATTGTGATATAATTTTTCCTCAGTTTATATGTCAAAATAACATGCTTTCAAAAATCCTCATATGGCAAATATATTGCAGTAGAATAAAGACGCCCAAAGAGAATGCTCGTCCTCCTCCACCCTCTCCATGCTTGCAGTCACTGCCATTCTGTTGTCCCAATGTCTGCGTGGGTGCACATCTTAGTGACATCATGTGTTACCGCGATAGAGCCAAAAAACTCTATCATTACCCAATTTTATATCGTTTCTACCTTATATCGTTTATATTGCCCACCCCTACTTGAAATCACAACTTCTCTCCTTTCATAAACCTCTGATGGCACAAACGGTTGTGGAGTTTTGTCAGCATTCAGTGTCATAGCAGTGGGTTTGTGAGAAAAACATTCAAGCTGCCTAAAAATAAATCCACTTCCTACCATTAAATTTAATTTGTGCATTAGAGTAATAGCTTTTAATGTTTCGTTGGTATGATGTCATTTTCTGCCGTGCTTGTAAATGTTACCTGAACAAGGTTCAAATTTAAATTTCTGCCAGAAAAATCCCAATTGAAACTTTTCCTACAATTGTACAGCCCTGGTTTATTCGGCTGTTGCTTGTTTTTACATGTACCGTCAGGTTTCACTGATCTCATAATCACTTGTTTTATAATCTGCCAGATATAACTAATAGAAATTATTCACTGCTGCTTAAACAACACATTTAATCTTGATTTATTATTGTTTTTGTTTCATTTATTTATTTCATTTTTCCCCTCCAGTGAGTTCTCCTGTCGAGCTGTTAATCAGTCAGACTCTCTGCTGGGTCCACGATGACCTGGACAAGGTGGACTTCTCCAGTTATTTGCTTAAAGTCTGTGGTCGAGAGGAAGTGCTACAGAAGTGAGTGAGAACATCTTTGCGGATAAGGAGTCAATGGGTTTCATTTGTTTTCTTTGGTCCCTGTGTCTCCTCTCCACCTCTGTTTTAGTCTATCACACCTTTTTGGTACAAACAGGACTGATGGATATTTTTACATCGGTTCCATAGCTCCCACGCCCTACTCTAGTCATAATTGTAATTGCTGCCTTTCTTACCAGAATTATAATGCCACAAAACTCCTACATGAGCAAAGATAAGTGTGAGTTTAATCTGCCATAAATAGAAGTGCTAAGAGAATAAATCTTTAATGCTAGTACCTGGTTCAGCCACCTTTTGCCTTCAGAACCACCTAAATTCTTCATGCCATAGATAAAACAAGCAATTTTATACCTTTCTCGGTGGTTCTGGTCCATTATGACTGGCCACAATGAAAACCTCCTGTTTCACATCCCAAAAGTTCTGAACTGGACTGAGATCTGGTGACTGTGGAGGCCATTGGAGTCCAAAAGGTGGATAAGAATCCAAACACAGAAAGAACGTACCAAAGATGTTTAAAGAAAAATACGGACAACAAGGAACAAAGAACTTCTGCCGTTTGGAACGTTTACATCAAAAACGCGCATGTCTAAGGAAGCACCTTCGCTTCAATTTAAGATGCCGGGACGAAAATATCATGCCAACAAGCCTACAGCTGAAAGCATCGATCCAGACCGAGATAGCACAGAACGTAATGAAAAGAACACAGAAAGCACTACTCAAAGAAGGGATAAGAAATGTCGCAACCAAACAGAAGCAAGTGGAAAACGAACTGGAAAGAAGACACCTGGACTTAAAAAGGAATTACAAACTTGATGACAAAACGGAGGAACAAATTTAAGGACACATGATGGAACAAAAGGAAAAAGAGTTCCTAAAAGTAAAAGAAAGACACATAAAGAAGTAAAAAAAAACTCTTCAACAAGAAAAAAGAAAAGAAATACAAGATAACAGCACACAAAGCTCATGGGTATGTAATATTTCACAACACAAACTAACAGAAGCAGAAGAAAGCATATTAAAAAAAGGTTTCAACTTTGCAGTAACACCAAAGAAAATACCATATGATGAATTTGTTGTAGCAACAGAACTAGCATGTGAACAGATCACAGATGAGGGGAAAAAAACAGAACTTAGAAATAACGTTGTTGGGATATTAAAGAACAGCCAAATTCCACACAGCAATATTACAAAAGAAGAACATTCAGCTATGACAGCATTATCCAAAAATGAACAGATCATTATTCTCCCGGCAGACAAAGGAAGAACCACAGTAGTAATGGACAAAGAAAAATATAAACAACAGATGAAACAGATGCTAGAGGACAAAAATACATACAAAAAATACTTAAAAAAGACCCAACAGAAAACATTTAAAAAAACACGAAAAAATTACTGAAGCCACTACAAGAAAAAGGCAAAATAACAGAAAAAATTAACAAACACTTGATTCATACAGCAAACACCAACAATCTATGGAACACCAAAAATACACAAACAAAACACCCCACTTAGACCAGTAGTAGACAGCATAAGTACACCAACATACAACATGGCAAAAGAAATCAGCTAAATCATCAGTCCGTTATTAGGTAACACGGATCAACATTGCAAATATAGTATCGAACTGGCAAAAGAATTAAAAGAGATTACAATAGAAGATAACTGGGCTGCTTGGTGGCACAGTTTTTAGCACTGTTGCCTTGCAGCACGAAGGTCGCAGGTTCGAAACTCGGCTGTGGCCTTTCTGTGTGGAGTTGCGTGTTCTCCCCATGCATGTGTGGGTTTCCTCCGGGTACTCCGGTTTCCCCCACAGATCACAACATGCCCTATAGGTTATAAATTGTAAGTCGCTTTGGATAAAATTATCTGCCAAATAAATAAACATAAACATAAGTAAGTAAAGAACCAGAAACCCAGAAAGACGAGAACAAAAATCAGTGATAACCCTACCATACATCAAAGGCATAACAGAAAAAATAAGAGCAATAATGAAAAAACACAACATAAACACACCAACAAAACCATACACAACAGTTAGAAACAGACTAGTACACCCAAAAGACAAGATACCAGCTGGACTTAAATGTGGAGTCATTTACGAAATCCCCTGCAAACTCTGCAATGAAACATACATAGGAGAAAACGGACACCAACTCAACACACCAACAATAGAACATAGAAAGGAATGCGCGAAAGAGGCAAGTGGAAAACACACAAGAGCAGCGAAAGAAGAAGCAGAAAGTACAATAAAGAAGTCAGCCGTAACAGATCATTGTGTTGTGATTATTAGTCAACGAATAATTTGTAAGCTTTACTTACGTTTTTGGATTCATCAATAAATTCGTAAATATGGAAATATTTACCGATTTATTACGTAATTAGGATATCCGTGGATATCCTCGGGGCACCATCCCCTTTTAACAGGGGAAATATGAATACACACCTCTTATCAATCAGTCTAAAGTTTGTGAAATTCTTTAACGAGCTGCAGTTGTATTTTATATCAACACAAACAAATTCACTTGAGACAAAACTTAATTGGCAATAACATTTATTAACTAATATGACCACTTCAGCTCCTCCCAAAGCATTTAGCCAATCAACATCAACCAACTTATTTTATCAAACGAATAACAAGTAATGAAACAATGAGATGATAATGTGAAATAATAATCTGATCCGGTAGGTGGGTGTGATGACGTAAGCAGCAGTGATAGGTTGGTTACCAAGATGGAGGGAGTTTGGAAAAACAAAATGGCCGATCCCTTTGTCTGGCTGAAAAGGGGTCAAAACGTGTGTGTGTGTGTGTGTGTGTGTGTGTGTGTGTGTGTGTGTGTGTGTGTGTGTGTGTGTGTGTGTTTGTCTTTCTCAAATACACAGTCACACAGTGGACTTAGCTTTTCACAGTAACTCAATCAAAAACTCTTCAAAACCGCTTCACAAATATCAAGAAACACAACAAAAGATCAATCAAAGGCTAATGAAATATCTAAAACAGTGTCAGCCTGGCCACAGCATAAACCACTTAGATATTTCACAATAAAGAAATGGAGCTTACTGCAAGATGGTCAGGAGGGCGTATTTGGTACGGGAGAGAAAACCGTTTGTTATTTTAAAGCAGTCGCGCGGTCGACCGCTTGTTCGGTACTATTGTCGCGTGCACGTCCCATTTGTCGGTTCCGTTAAAACCCAGTTCCGTTAGAACTTATGAGACTGTGCATCCATCAGGGTTCGATGGGGATGTCGGTGAGTATTATAGTATTAGACCCTGGGTTGGGCGTCCTAAGTTAGAATCATATCTTTTATTTTAAAGGTGAAATAATATGTAAGACTTTTCCTTCTGTAGTAGCTCACTTCTTTTTAAGCAATCCCGTTATCTTAAGGTTTCTTTATATTAATCTGTCACAAACCGTAAAGTAAGTCCTGATAATTCAAGAACCCATAATTAATGTGCTTACCTCTGTGCAATAATGGTCAGGGCCCCCACTTGTGAAGCTTTAGTGAAAACCTGAAATAATCAGGATTATATTTCTTTTCCAAAAAAGTTTATTACAAAATAGAAAAATACAAAAATGAGTAAATATAAAAACAACCGCTATCCCCCAAGGAGGAATTAGTTCAAAATAATTAAATAAGAGAGTTGGTTTACACCAGCTCCTATCTTCTGAGAATCTCCCCAAACTACTACTAAAACTCTTGTCTAGCTCTGCTTCTCTCCAAAAAACTGACCTGTCATCCCCCATCCAGCAGGACGGGGGATGACCCCTCCAAATCTGCTCTGTCTCTTCTTGTCGTCTGCCCCAGCTCTCTCTCTCCGATCTGAGCTGCATCCTTTTTATATCATTCCTGAGACTGCTTTACACAATGTAAGAGTCACATATCATTCTCTCCTGACAGTTTAGGTCAAGAGGTCATTTACCAGATACACACTTTGTAGCTCAACACAAGACATTTGGTATCATTTTCACTACATGCAGCATTCTTCTTAACACAGGTCATTACATCATCTTTTGCAGTATTGTTCAGTTTCCCTCCATTGTTCCTGAGAGGGCTTCTGGATCTGATGGGCTTGTCTTCATTCTGTTCTCCTCCAATCCCATCTTTCCAAGCCAGGGGTGGATCCAGGGGTGGGGCCAGCCAGCCTGACCTTTTGCCTAGTTCTGTCCTCTTGTCCCTGTGACCCTTCTGTGACCCTTGTTTCTGACCACAGTTTTTTGACCTGCAGCCCAGCTCCTGTCTTCTGGCTGATTTTGCTCGCACAAGCCAGTTCAGTGTGTTTCAGCTTGCCACCGTCTTTGGCATGTGGGGACTGGCAACATCCCCCATGCGAGAAAAATCTAGCCAGGGGACCATAAACTGCAGTGCGGACTCACACCTTCAGACACCGAACATTCATTTCACTCAAGTTCGGCTGGACGCTCAGAGACTGAACTGTGGCTTCCACATCAGACTCCTCCTCAGCAGCTGCTTTAGCTGTAGATTTAGCAGCTGATGTTGCTGCAGCAGCCTTCTTTGGGGGTGGGGCTGCCTCCTCTGAATCATCTTCATCTCCAGTCTCAGACCCAGAGTCTGACAGCTCAGAGTCCAGATACACACCATCATCATCATCACTTCACTTCAGTCTCTGAAGAACCAGATGTTTGTTCATGAGGGTTCAGACCTGGGTACCTGCTAGTTACTGCTCCTCTACCAGTTTCTGCTGCCATCTGGTCAGCTGAGCTGCTGGTTGGAACATCTCAGTCTCCACCTTCAAGCAGAGACTCTCTCCCTCCAGACTGAAGACATTTTGTACTGCAGAGCTTCAAATATTCTCCTCACACACCTGAACAGCAACAAGCTAACTCTGCTAGCAGCTGCTGGTGGGAAGCTTACGCTAAAAACTATAAAGTGTGGCAAGGTGGATAAATGAGGGCCCGGGCGGGATTCGATCCCAAGACCTTCGGGGTGGGAGTCATACGCTCTAACCACTCAGCCAAAGGGACTTCCCCTTGGCCAAATGGCCAGGGCGCATTATCAATACAGAACGCTCACACTGTCACACCTTCCCCCCTCTTTCCACAAGCGCGTCCTCGTGCTCCCGCGCAGGGTGCCACAAACTTCACATCTATGAACCTACTTGACAGTACTACATGGATCCTGCCAACAACACCATATATGGCAAGGTTAAAGATGCTTACGCCTTATTAGTGTAGCTGTCTGTCAGGTCAGAATCACATGGAGCTGTTAGTTCAGGACTCTCCCTTCTCAACAGAACTAGTAGGGGGAGGGGTGATGTCACCACATCCTGCTTGTCTGTTGTTGCTCAGCTGACTGGGTGCTTTTTCTCTGTTCAGCTGTGGCTTCTCATATCTGCAGGCTAAGATCATTCAAACCAACAAAAACACAATTTTTTTAAAATAAAGCAACACCCGTCTCTGCTTACGCCTCCATGGGTGCACTCACACTTTCCAGGAGAATATACAGGGTTCCCGTCTCAAGCAGGTCCTGCAAATACAAATTTTAATTGGAGCAGAGAGTTCTAATGCTCCCAGTTATAAGTCCGTCCCCCTTTACAGGCGGCACGGCTTCTCCCGGAGCCCCGATCATTTTATTAAGCACAGAGTTCCACACATTACGCATGTGTCCGGCTTCCAGCTCCTCCATTGCACGTGACGATGCCCGACAGGAGATTCTGTGAAGCTAGGAAACATGATTACTTTACAGTTCGTGACAAATACCTCCCCGTGTTACCAGAAACGAGGCCCAAGTCACACAGATTCTTACATATCAGTCCTTCACTAGATTTTGATCCAGCCATGACGTTTAATCGCATCTCACTTGTGCCTCAGCACCCGGACAGCGCCCCGCCGCAGCTCCATACTAGCTTTTCCAGCCTCATTCTGAAAGCTCTGGTTACAGGATACTGAAAGATCTATCTGCCATGGCTGGTTAAAAGTTTATCTTATTTTTATTTATTTTATTTTTATTCGTTTTCACGTCTTATTTTTTATTCTTACTCTTTATTCCTTTTTATTTTTTGCCTAGCTTTTATCCTTGGCTTTTCTTATGTCGGAAAGCCGTGATTTCTTTATACTTCTTTGAGTTAATCGTCCGTTCTCCCAAATTTCTTTCCTTTTCGAGAAATTGGTGCGGTTTTGACTCCAAGGTTGTAAGCATATCCGGTCCATGGTGCGTAAGCTTTTATAAGCCTAAAAGACAGTTCTACGTCGGATAGCCCGGTATCTAATATTTAGACCTTCACTCCGTAGCCCCACGTTGTTGCGCCATGTCGCAAACGTGGCATTTGTCGTGCCCCACGTTGGGAAGCCATGTCGCGTGCACGTCCCATTTGCCGGTTCCGTTAGAACTTATGAGACAATGCATCCATCAGGGTTCTAGGGGATGTCGGCGAGTTTTATCGTATCAGATCCGGGTTTGGACCTCCTAATTAGAATCGTGTCTTTTATTTTAAAGGTGAAATGACTTGCACGAATAGTATCCCCAGAGTAGTCCACTTCTTTTAAACTCGTTATCTTTTGGTTAAGATACTAGAGAGAAGTCTGGAGGCAAGCCACTCCTCTCAGCGATTGTTTGGGTTATCTGGATTAATTGCGCCTCTAACAGCTTATGTGGGAGGTTGGTAACTATAAAATGATTTATGTTAGTTGATCAGGCTAACATAAGTTTATCAATTTATTTAATTAATCCAACCCTCCAGCCGGTAGAGACTTTTTCAACCTGCAATCAGAGCCAAAAATAACCTCTAATATTTTGGTTTTATCGCCCTTAAGACAACTCGTTACTCGCAAGGGGGGGAGAGTTAAACTCCCCTTATCTTAAGGTTTCTTTATATTATTTTATTATAAACTGTAAAGTAAGTCCTGATAATTCAGAGACCTATAATCGACATGCTTACCTCTGTGCAATTATGGTCAGGGCTCCAAACGTGAAGCTTTAGAGAAAACCTGAAAGAATCAGGATTATGTTTCTTTTCCAAAAAAGTTTATTACAAAATGTAAAAATACAAAAATGAGTAAATATATAAAAACAACTGCTATCCCCCAAGGAGAAATTAGTTCAAAATGATTAAATAAGAGTTAGTTTACACCAGCTCCTGTCTTCTGAGAATCTTCCGTCCGGTCTCCTTCAAAAGGCCCTGCCCGATCTGAGCTGCGTCCTTTTATATCATTCCTGAGACTGCTCTAAACAATGAAAGAGTCACAAGTCATTCTCTCCTGACAGTGTAGGTCAAGGGGTCAATTACCAAATACACTTTTTTAGCTCTACATAAGACATTTGGTATCATTTTCACTACATGCAGTATTCACATGAGGGCACAAAAGTTACATGTTGCACTCCTGGAATGGGAGCACATGTCATAAATCTTCATGTTGGTAGCAAATTGTAGATCTTCCTTCAGCATTCCTGAGGACTTCTGGGTCCAAATGGACTGTCCTCACTCCATTCCAGTCCTTCTCTTCCCGCCAGAGGAGGAGCCAGGGGAGGGGCCATGGGTGGATCCAGAGAAGCCAGCCTGCCTTTTAACCTTTTGCCTAGTTCTGTCCCCGCTAGCAAGTCCTGAACTCTTGTCCTCTTGACCCTTCTGTGACCCTTGTCTCTGACCACTGTTTCTAAGTCGGCCAGGACTCGCAACACTATAAGAGAGAACGGGAGAGAAAGAGAAAGAAAAAAAAAGGAAAAATCTTGTCTGAACAGCCAAGGTGTCCCTCAAATGTTCTAACGGATCAAATGGCAGTCTCCGTTGATTCCAGTAGCTCGGCTCCACGCACACTCATCCGGAGCGGTAGCAGAGCGAGCGTCTCTTCAAACACCAGCTGAAACTGGACGGAAAGAGAAAGATTCTGCTCTGTGCAGCAGCTTTATCCAGCGGGCGGTCTCTTGTGGCTGGGGTTCGGCGGCGCTTTGGTGACGTCATCAAGCTGCTGCCGGCTGCAGGGAATCATGGGAAATGAAGTCCCTGCTGGCGCTGATTTTTAATATGCCTTATTTCTTTACGCTTCAGGGCGTTTTTGACACAGTCTTTTGGAGAAAATACTGCATAGTAATTTCCTCATGAGGGTAGACCCTCAACAACTGCATAAGAGAAAACCACATAATGGTCTGGGACAACACAAAGATCATAAACACCGAACAACAGAAATACAAAAGATGGATAAAGGAAGCCATAGAGATAAGGAGACGTGGATGTGGGACCATGAACAGAGACGATGGGGTCTACACATTGGATTGCGCATGGGACTGCATCATCGGAGAGGGTAGAGCGGGCAGCAGAGGGCGACAACATCCTCTGCTGCCCGGGGATAAATGGAGTAGGAAGTGAGGCCACCATCAGCGTCAGCTCTGAGGATGTTTGCAGACGCAAACAAAACTGTCAGCAAGGTAAAGAGAAACCCTTCCTGTGTTTTAAAAAAGAACCAAAAATGGAATTAGATGGGTCCACTGATCAGTACCATCACCTACACTTCTGCACAAGTCAGCACTGATCACTTTAACTATCTCAAACTACAGTGCACACTATTTAAATAGCACAGGTCTGCTGCCAACTATTGCTTCTGATGCCTTTCTCTCCCTATGTCAATTGTTATGTGACACTTTTGGAAACTTATGTAACTGTTTATGTCTCTTCTCTTTTTCCGTGACTGCTACCTCTATTTTGATTATTCTAAATGTATAAACTTAGAGATTACTTCTTCTATTTTTACTAAGTCTTATTATGTCTTTTGGGCTGAAACCAGGACCAGGAAACAAAGGTTGTTCCATCTCATGTCTGACATGTGCTGAAATGGCAAAAATAAATCCTTGGTACAACCATGTCACATTCAAAGTCCCTTTAAATCTCCTTCCTTAATGCTGATGCTCTATTTGAACATCAGTCGGTTTTCTTCACCATGACCACATGAATAAATGCTGACATTTAATTGGCTGATTGGATATTGATGTTAGTAAGCAGTTAAACGGGTGTACCTAATAAAATGGCTGGTGAGTTATGGGAGAGGAGTTTTATCATATTCAAAAACTACACAGCTGATAATATGGGAATTTGGACACTTTTTGTAAAAATGCCAATTATTTAGAATAGGGTAGACTTTATTAATCCCTTGCTACAGCAAGTGAATTTTCTTGTCAAACCCCCCAAATTTTATTTTGATCCGTTAATTCCCCAAAGACATGCCATGATGTTGGAATCTTTGCTCAAAAATTTCCAAATGTAATTGAAAACTATTTAGTTTTCTCTTAAAAATGTCAGAGATTTGAATAATGACTTGGATCATGACAAGTTCATTTTCATTGTGTTGCCATAACACAAAAGCATAAGTCATTATTATTATTATTATTATTATTATTATTATTATTATTATTATTATTATTATTATTATTGAGGAATTGCATTGAACCTTGTGTCTCTTTCTGACCTCAGCAAACACAGCCTGGGAAGCCACGATTATGTCCAGAACTGCCGGAAGTGGGAGAATGAGATCACATTACAACTGCTCTCTCACTCAACTATGAGGAGGGACTTGGCGCGCAGTGTAAGTCACTTTAACTATGAATATGAGCCCTTAGTAGGAGAAGTTTTTTTGAGAAATGTCAGGTTCACCCCAAAAAGTTTTACCTTTCATCTTGCTGCTGAACACTGACAAGAGTTTGTCTTCATGCAGTAAAATTCTGTTCTCAACCCCATGTGATGCTAGGTAAATCTGCTGATATATGTGTGTTTGGTTCTTTTCCACTTTTAGGCAGAAGATGACAACTCTCCAATAGATTTAGAGAAGCACCTCAGCCACATGGAGAGGCCTTTTAGGGAGAATGTCACCAGGTATGAGGATTGGGAAATGTTTCGTCTCAAAGACAAAAGCCTGTTGAGAAATCACATTTTGACTGTTTTCAGTCCTGTGTGAGGCAGAAGATGCAACAAGATGCAGACAGTCGGTCTTAGAACGTTTAGAACTACAAGCGAGGCTCTTTTTTATGTTATGATAGTCTTATCATGAGCAAGTAGTTTGGAGCAGCTTTAGTAAACCAATGTACAGCAGCATGCTACTGCTCTGTAACTGCTGTAGAACACAACAGGACTGTGGTTCTTAAATAAAAACAGGTTTGTTCTTATTAGGCAAGAGTCTTTGGTAAAAGAGATGTTTTTCTTAACCTGCACTGTGGACAGCCCATGAAGTAGGCCTCAAGTGAGAAGCCGAAACCGCAGGTAAAACAAACATCTCTTACTAAAGGCCAGTGCCTGTTAAGAAGAAACCTTTTTCAGGAATGAATCTCACTAAGGCATAATGAACTCAATAAATACAGGACTGTAGCTCATGTTTGCAAATGTGTATGTTTTCAGACAAGGCCTTGCTGACTATTTGGAGGGCTATCGCAGTCAAGTCAACGTCTGCTTACAGAATGAGGTACATTTGGTCTCAGTCTCTGTACACAATCAAAAGTAAAAAGAAATTTCTAATAATGATTTCTGATAGTAGTTTGGTTTAAATCAGGGGTTTTCAGTTCTGGTCCTGGAGGGCTGGTATACATCACATTTTAGTGGTTTCTCTTCTCCAACACACTAGATTCAGTGGTTGAGTCACCTGTGCAGCAGCTCATTAGTCTCAGCAGAAGCCTGTTAATTACCTGCTGATTGAAATCAGGTGTGTTTAAACAGAGTTTTAAGTTAAAACATGCTGGATACTGGCCCTCGAGGCCCAGAATTGACTACCCTTGGTTTAAATACATTAAACCTATCGCAAACGAGAGCTAACTGCAGAGCAAACGGCCTTGAATGACTGTTTGCTCAGCAGATATCTCACTCATAAGAGTGGAGAATGTGATTTGATTGGCCACTAGAAGAAGAAGAAGAAAGTATAATTTCTATAGCTCCTCTCAAGATAAAAATCACGAGGCGCTTAGGATGAGGCGCTTACGAGGCACTAGAACAGTGGTTCCCAGACTTATTTAGCCGCGCACCCCCTTCTATGTCCCGACCATGACGATGCACCCCCCAGCCCCACATCAGGGCATGGCTATATATATATATATATATATATATATATATATATATATATATATATATGTATGTATGTATGTATGTATATATATATATATATATATATATATATATATATATATATATATATGCATATAGATATATATACGTATATATGCATATAGATATATATATATATATGTATATATATATGTATATATATATACATACATATATATATATATATATATATATATATATATATATATATATATATATGTATATATACATACATACATATATATATATATATATATATATATATATATATATATATATGTATGTATATATATATATATATATATATATATATAATCAGACGTCAAGCTAAACAGACAGGGTTAAAAAAATATGATCAACCTTTTTCCCCATCACTTTCATTTTTTAAATAGTAATTAATAAACATTCGATACCATTACAATTTCCTTTGATTTAATTTTAAATAAATATTTAGAGTGCCCAGGTAGCACATAAACAATGCATTTTAATGGTTTTCTTAAAACGTTTAACCTGTGCGGCCAGAGCGCTCTCCTTCCTTCTGCTCTGTATAACCCTGAGCTGGTCACCTACTTGTGCGTAATCAAATGTCTATAGGGGAAAATATGGAAACGATATAGCCATGAGGTTCACTTTTGCCTCAGACCGACTTATTGCTGTTTTATGGTGTGGCTGAATCTGCGATCCACTGCCACGCGGACTGGAAAAACAAATGCTGCAGTAACAGGAGTTGTCAGGTTCGGGGTCACTGGCTGGAGCGGACCCGACTTTAATATGTCATCCCAAAATAGAAGCTAATATCTTAATTTGACCTTGAATTAAAAATGTTATAAAACCTCTTAGAAGTTTTTATCACGGAGGAGGCAGAGCTCATTTCTGCCTTCAGCCTGACGGCGCGCCTGGAGTTTGCGCAGCGTGCGCGCTTATTGAATCTGTGTGTGTGTGTGTGTGTGCGCGCGCGCGGCACAGCTCCATGAGCCGCTCCAGTCACCGCGTCTCGTTGTTGGCGCTATTTAAACCAATGTTGTAAAATTACTTCTACCCAGCCCAGATGTGCTCACTTGTGCACCCGTGAGCCGTGGTTCCGCTGGAACGCGTCTGACCTCTTACAGACGCACTCTGAACTTCAGATCTTCAGCGCGCTGTTAATAGCCTAAATGGGAATCATTTCTTGATTTATTTAGTTACATCCACAATGTTCTGTGTGTGAGGTTTACAATGTCAGAACACCTGCATGAGACAGGGTGTTAATTACAATCTGCCAGAATGACTCACCACCTTCAGATTCCTCCAACACCGTTAAAAATGATCAAATACGGAACATATCGGCGTGCGCAGGCCAGAGTGCTGAAGCTCGGCACATTGTTATTATGAAGCTAGGGCACATGTGGAGGACACACACACAAAAATATACTTGTTTTCAATTACGTTTATTGTGCCCACTTACTTTTTCTTAGGCCCACCCACAAATGAGTTTCTGGCTACGCTAATGGTGACACATGACAGACTTCTCTGAGCTCCGCAGCCATTACACTTTTCACCTCGCGCACCCCCTAGCGGCAGCTCGCGCACCCCCGGGGGTGTGCGCACCACACTTTGGGAATCCCCGCACTTGAATATTTCAGCTCAACCTGCAGCGCACGTAGTGCGCACACGGTGAGTTTCTACCCCCCGTGAGGCGGAAAATATCAAACCGGTTTGATTTTCACCTCAGGAGGCAGAAAACTCAATGAAAATTAGGCGCGCACAGCAAGGTATCTGCTGAGCAAACGGTCATTTGAGGCCGTTTGGTCAGCAGTTAGCTCTCGTGTGCGGCAGGCTTTAGACATGTTATTTATAATAAAAATGTAGTTTAATCTGTATATCAGGTTTTTATTCTTTTGCCAGGAAGCTGCCATCTTTAGCTAGTAACAGTGTAATAAAAATAAATGAAGGCACATGTTTTATAATTACTGTAAGATTTTGTGTAAATGTAATTTCAGGCACATAAACAATAAACTAATCTGAGAGAAGAGGGATTACTGTGAAGTCACCAGCACAACACAGTGAATGCTACAAGTCAGTCACTCGATAAAATCAGCTGGGTTTCCTTAGACAGAAACGTTAAACTAATTGGAATAATTCTTGACTAGGTTCAATTGGAATGTTTACATTGTAAAATTCCTTGAGATGTTATGAATGGATGCTATATGAATAAATTGAATTGAAACATTTGTTTTTCTGCTAAATTGTAAGGAATCCTCAACCAAATCTAACAGGGTTCAGTGTTTCCAGACAGACGTCTTTGATTGGCCACGTTTCTATGGATAATCAGTTTTAAATATTTCTACTGCCATGTACTGTCCCGGGAACAGCAGAGACTGTCTTGGCTAGTAGAAGCTAACTGTTAGCGTTAGCAACTTCACCACACAGCAGAACTCCTTTAGGCTTGTGTTTTTTGTGGAGATAAAACATCCACATTGCAGAGCAAACTGAGTCAGTGGTAGTCATATTGCTGTTATCCAATCAGAGAAAAGATGTCCAAATATCAGGAAAATAGACCCCAAATCCTGTCATCTGAATCTACTTTCTCTTCAGGCTGACTTCTCCATACTCACGAGCGCTCTACCCCCCACCCCCATCCTGAGTAGGACTTACAAGGCACTCATTCCTACTATAGACTACTGCAAATGTATTTAAATACGACTGAAGGACCTCTTTACATTTGCATAGTTATTCAAGTAACCAAAGTAAAAGTGAAATTTTTCTATTCAACAATTACCTTTCGCTGTTTGTATGATAATGGATGACATATTCTGGATTCCCTCCACTGGTTTTGCCTAAGGAAGGTGTTGTCACAGAGACATTGTAAGTAACTTACCACAGTGATGAGGAGGATCATTTAGCCTCTTCTGATTTTGACTTCTCTTTTCATTAGTGATTACATAAATAGTGAAGAAGTGACACTAGATCACCATCTTAAAGCAACTTTTTCATATTTTTAAATCATTTTCTTGAGCCAGTATGTGCTAAAATGACTCTACAAGGTTAATGAAATGTCACTCAGACCCCCACCGCCCCTGTGACCAGAATACGGCATTTGCATCTTCATACTGATGGGCCACTGTGATGAAACTTGTGCCACTTATAAACTAGCATCTGCCCCACTCCGCTCCACCCTGCCCTAGCCCGGCCGCGTTCGTTTCACACTGCCTTAGGAATGTGGACGTGATTGAGCACATGGGTGGTCTGTGATGTCATGAGCGCATTTCCGAGCACACAGGCGGAAAATCCAACGCTACCTACGTGAGAAAGCTCCCAACCCAGGCGGAGAGGAGCTGATGCTAGCTTGTAAGGACCATTAGAAAAAGTTGAGCTTACATATCTGGCGCTGCAGTCTGGTTCCAGCACCTTTCCTGCATGTTTTAGATCATGAACACAGCTGATTTGTTTAATTTAGTGATCAATCACTCATGTAGACACTAAGGAAGGCTGGGAGATGTTTCAGCTGTTGGATTAAAGTGTTAAAAAGATGAACGCACAGTGAGAAGAAAGGTTTCCTTTTCACTTTGACCACGGAGAATTAATAACAGACACTAGGGGGTGCTAAAAGCAAGCAAAAACTTGTGCCTTTTAAAAAGCCTACAGAATACAACAAATGATGCATTTCTAAGCAACCCAATCAGTGCTTTTTCATCAAGTTGCTAGGTAAAGGATGCACCAACCTGCTATATATTTCTGCATTCAGAGTAACCAGTACAAGGCCGTGGACCGGGTGGTGCAGTCTGTGAGGAACTTGTGCTGTGCTCTGGATGAGGTGGAGACTCAGGCCATTACAGATGCAGTCAAAAGACTACGCCACTCTGTCAATTTACCCAGGACACATTCACCCAAGGTGGGTTCTTGACTAGTATGCGTTCCCACACATTCATGTATTCAAATATGATGATGCTGTGTCTAAGACCTACATGCATTGCTTTCTAGCTGGGGTCAACATCACCTGGTCAGTCATCAAATAGTAAGTTTTGGCATTCAGAAAAATCACACATAACCTTTATTCTTTTGTCATTTTCCTAAATCTCAAAGATCTGTAACTGATCATGATCTGACCCCAACAGCTGGCCCCAGTTCTGTGGAGGAGAGCTTGGCCTTGTTGACAAAGGGAGTCTACGACCTGGCTAAGCTCTACCTGCGCTCTTTTTGTCCTCCATCTACATCCACCAACTCCCCTCCTGTTGCTCAATGTGGGGATGAAGGGCAATCTGTGGAGGGGACAAGCTGCAAAGAAGCTTCTGGCACCACAGATCACATCCAGTTCACTCTGTTTGCCTTGCACGGCATCCCAAGCAATTGGGTCAGCAGGTAAACACTAGATGAGTTTCAGTTAAATGGCTTGAAGCGTGCAGTAAATTACATGTACAGATATTTGGTTTGTGTCACAATTTATTGGTTAGCATCTTCTACAAAGGCTTTCAGAGTTCTATGATGCTATAAAATTACAGTTTGGATTTTAGAGCTGTGCCATCACAGCAGCCATCGTGGATTTCTCTCACTAAACAAGAAGCAATACTGTGGCTTCTTGTGTCTTATTTTTCCATGTTTGTGTCTAGTTTCACCCAGACCCTATCAGCCTTCATGGTGTGAGGAGCAGAGTTGAGCCAGCTTCCATTCCCAGATCTGTTATGCATCAGTGACTAGGATCAGGGACAAAAATCGGCATATGTGGCAGGTCTGCATATGTATGTTTAGACATTGTTAGATGACAATGTGTTCATCTGCTGTCATTGCTGGGTTGTACGGCTGTTTAGTTTTATTATTATTTAATATTGTGGTGAAGGCCAGTTGAGACCTTTAAAGGCTGATTAAATCTAAGCAGCGTGAGATTAATAAACTGTGTAAGTGTTGCTGTGAAATTTAAACGGTTTCTGATCCTTCTGAAAATCTTACTTGGCCTTATTCCGGTCAGCAACTCAGGCCATCGCTGAACAACTAAGTGCTTAAAAGTACCCATTTACTCTGGCACAGCCTCTTCCTGCGGCTATTTAAAGCAGGAACAAATATTGCTGTAGTGACAGTCATTTCAAACATGCCTAAAAACACATTTAGCTCTTCACAACCCCAAGGCCAGAGACACACAGTAGAGTTCAGCATTTTCCTCCCAAACAAGAAGCGGTGCCGGACTGTTGTAGTGTTACCATAATCCTGCCTAACTGGGCTCTGAGTGTATTGTTGTGGCACACGTGTGAACCATCTGTAGCCCGGCATTGCCAGCATGTGAGACAGCCGAGTCAGTGGTGGAGCTGCTAGCACAGATGGCTCAAAGCAACGGATCCAGCTTGTTGTGGTGGTAAATGTGCATCTGATGGGTTTGTGTTTTTCACTCATTTGTGTATCTGTTATCAATTAAAGCTGATGTTATTTTTAGATTTAGGGAACACAACAAATTAAGGATCAGAGAGTTTATTACATCACATCTGGAAATTGGTTGCAATAAATTATTTTTGTTGTAGGAATTTTTGAAATATTGTTTGAGTAAAAACGTATATACGGTGTATATATATATATATCTGGTGTAAGTATTCCTAGTTGATACATGACTCTGTCTCTCAGGTGTATTCACTTCTTGCCTGATTAGACCTTTTAAGCAATATGTGTAGATAGATATGTATTCTTTCTGCATACCAACTATATACCCAGTTGTGGTTAGCAGCTCTCCGTCCTCACTGTAAGCAATATGGGCAAGTTGCTGCCTCCCTCCCAAAATTTCAAGTGATTTGCTAGAACCTCTTTGGAGCCGATCAGTGGTCTACGACGTCCGTGTCCTTGCTGAACTCCCCCCACACCGGAGATTTTTCCTCAGCCACGGTCACTGCTGTACCTCACTTGGACCTCCAGTACTTTTCAGCTGCTTATGAAGACCCACAGAACAACCTTGCACTGTAGGACTCCTTCTGCTTAATGGCTCCTCTGACCTCTGATGTCCAGCAGTGAGTCTCGGGGTTACTGTCTCGACTAGCAACAACAAGGTTATTATGGCCAAAGCTTGCAGCAGCTGCCTCAACAATTACAGAAGAAGAAGAAAATATCATTTCTATAGCGCTTCTCAAGATAAAAATCACGAGGCGCTTCACAAAAACAAAAAAATCTAAAAATATAAAAAAGCATTTAGAAAATGTTTAAAAATATATTCAAAATGAGCAAAAATAGGCAATTGGGATTTAAAAGAAAAAATGTTAAGAAAGAGAGAGAGTGAACAGGAAAGAGGGAAATCAGTGGATCCTGAGTAAGGTGGAATAGGTGGGGAGAGCAGAATAAAGAGAGAGTGGTGAAGAAGGTCATACAAAAGCCAGCTTGAACAAGTGAGTCTTCAGCTCTTTTTAAAGGAGACCACTGAGTCCACTGATCTCAGGCTCAGGGGGAGAGAGTTCCAGAGTCTGGGGGCCACAGCAGCAAATGATCTGTCACCTTTGGTCTTTACCCTGGTGCTGCACAACCAGTAGGCTTTGGTCACTGGACCTCAGGGACCTGCTGGGGGTGTAGGGACAGAGAAGATCACCAATGTGAGATGGTGCTTGTCCATGTAAGGCCCTATAGACCAAAACCAGGATTAAGAAATGAACCCTAAGTTGACTGGCAGCCAGTGAAGCTGGAGGAGAAGCGGGGTGATGTGGGTATATTTGGAGGACTTGGTCAGAAGCCAAGCACAGGCATTCTGAACCACCTGAATGGAGCAAAGCCCATTCAGACTCAGTGTCCCCCCACTGCACTTGAGATGTGGTCAAAGCTCTGCTGGAGGTGGGAGTTGAAGACCGTTTTGGCAGCCAATAGGGAGCCTAAGTCTCTTCTCTTTCCGGTCGGCTCATGGCTCCCCGGAAGAACGAAAAAATGAATGCAAGTCGAAGGGGCTAAAAGATCTATTTTCTAATCTGCTTTGCCTTACGCCCTGGATCGCACATATGTTGTACTCCAATTGAAATGAAAAGTAATGACGGGTGTTTCGACCATGCCAGTCACATACTTTGAGATTTATCAGCTAGTAAAAGTTTGTAATTAGCACGACTACATCGAAACGTCGCATATGTGACATCACCACATAAGCTCCTCCCCCCTAGCGTAGCTGCTACTTACCAAATGACCAGATTTATGTGATTCTTTCCTCCTGTGGGAAGTTTGCTGAACTTACAGCCCTTTTCCCTCAGTTTTCTCCGTGTCTGGTTCGATGATGTCACTTTTGTGAAGCACATTTGTAGTCCTGGACTTATTTTCACACAAAACCTAAAATAGTGTTTCCCCCTGAAAATAAGCGCGTTCTTGGTATCAAAATGTTTCTTTTAAATTCACGGACATCAAATGTGAAATCCATGGCAGGTAACAAGCAGAATTAGATAAAAATAGCATTTTTAGCCCCGTTGACTTGCGTTCATTTTTTTGTTCTCCTGGGGACCCATAGTCCGAAAGTAGATGGGCATGATATAGGCTCCCTATGCTGTGCGTTGAGTCCAACTATTTCTGGCCGGTACAGCTCCACCTCATTCACAAGCTTCCGCTTTTCCCCCACCAGTGACATGACATTCCTTGTCCCAAATCCCATAAGTAGTTTCTAGGGATCAGACCACCCAATCCACAATGCATCGGACCCTTCTAGTCTCTACTGCAAGTGGTGTGTCCGTAGATGAACAAGCGGAAAGCTTTGGAGCAACCAGTCACTCCACCCCCTTGCCAAACAATGGCATTTCAGAATAGCTCAGCATGCTCGGAACCACCAAATCAGTTACTGAAAAATTGGGTGATAATATCAATCCATGCTGTTGTAAAAGGCTGCCCAACCAGACCAACCCCATTCACCTTACGCTAAGTAGTGGCATTGGAAAAGGGGCATTAGTTTGCCTGTACATTAGTAACTGTAATAGCTGCAAACATCAGTACCCATAGAAAAAAAAAATCTTAATGTTTGAATTAGATTAGCCTTCCATTGTTACTTTTGATGGCATGCTTGTAGATGATCAACCATCAATGTAAATGTGTCATTTCAGTTTTGAGAAGTACTTCCTGATGTGTTCGCTCACCCACAATGGGAAGAACCTTTTTAAGCCGGTTCATTCTAAGAGAGTGGGCACGTACAAAAGCTTCTTCTACCACATCAAATGGGATGAGCTGTAAGTACTGTTGTTTACCTTCTGTTTGAAAAATGCCTGTTTCCATCATCCTTCCAAGCTGCTCACACTACCCTTCTTTCTCCAAGGATTATTTTCCCCATGGCGGTTGCTGTGCTTCCACTAGAGTCCATACTCAGCTTGACCCTGTTTGGAGTTCTGAACCAGAATGCCAGCAGCTCACCTGATTCCAACAAACAGAGGAAAGCTCCAGAGCTTCTGGGCAAAGTCTCCATGCCTCTCTTTGACTTCAGAAGGTGAGGAGACTGAATCTGTTTAACAAGACACTTGGTTATTTTGCTCATTTTAAACAGTCTAAACATATATTAGAGTAATTTATTTCATTTCCTTTTCTTGAGTTAAAAACATTCATACTCTTCAACCTTCAAATGCTCCTTGGAACAATATTAACAAACTCATTTAAAGAATAGATTTCTTTCTCTGTTGTTAACTGCTGTCTGTGTTTGACAGAGTACTTGCGGGAGGCTCCAGGTTGTTATGTTTGTGGACGTCTCCACAGGGAGCTGCTGCTGCCGGTCCTGCAAGCAACCGCAAGAGGGGATCCACAGAAAGAATCATACTACAGGTTAGTGAAATGATGTTTGTTGTTAGTGTTTGTCCGAAGCTCCACCGTTGTATCTGAGTAATAGTACCCAGTGTAACATAATAGTAATGGAGTGACTGTCGGATTTCTTTTTCCCACCTTTGTAAGGTTGCCATAATAATAAACATCCTGGCCAGGAGTGATGCTGAAAAACGAGTTTGTGCATGTGTTACTTCAAGATTTGATTACTGTTCATTCTTCACCATCAGAAAGTCCACAAAATGTAATTAAAGGTCTTCTGTCTGACCCACTAAACACATCACCTGCTATGAACGTTTTGCCTTCTTTAACATCGAAAGTTCTCCTTCTCCAATTCATCTGATTTTTGGTGGATCTGGTCTGTCTTCTCAAACCCTCGGTGGGTCGTGACAGATGGCTGCTCACACTGAGCCAAGTTCTGCTGGAGGGTTCTTCCTGTTAACGGGAAGCTTTCCTCTCCACTGTCGCTACATGCTTGCTGAGTATGGGGGATTGCTGTAATCTGCTGGGTTTCTTTTGAAAACGTTTAACTAACTGGATTAATGAATGCAGTGTTTAGTAGGTTCAGTTGGAATGTTTGCTTTGTAAAGTTCCTTGTGATGACTTGTGTTGGTGCCATATAAATAAACAGAATTGAGATGAACAGATTATGACACTGTAGCGACCCCTGAAGGGAAAATCTGAAAGATAAAGAACAAGAGGAAATGTGGTATTTTAAAACATTACCAAGATCAAATCCCTGCAATTTAGTAAGAAGCAGGAGAGCTGGAACACTCAAATCAGTATAAATATTTTAACGGTGCAAAAAACAAAAACTTAACGTTTCAACACCTTATGTGCCTTCACCAGAGTTTGAAACTCTGAAGACACATGAGGTGTTGAAACGTTAATATTTATACTTGGTTTAGTGTCCCAGCTCTCCTGCTTCTTATTCTGAATGTCCTCCAGCTGTAGAGCACCAACCTGAGTGGATGACGCACAGGGAGTTTAATCTGCCCTGCTTTTTAGTATTTGTTCAAAAAGCCAAATGCTAGGGCTTCCCACGCTGGTAAATTCATGTGTTCACACTAAAGCTGAGATTTTACCCTAATGATATAGAAAATCTAAGAGCTGTTGAAGAAGAAATCATTGCTAACATTTTTGTATTTGTTACCGGCAGGTGGACTTCCCAGAATCAGCAGTGGATGTTTTATACGTTGGACCCAAAGAGAAGCCCAATCCTGAGCCCCACACACTGGAGGAACTGGATCCAGACCTCAAACGGAAGCTGGAGAAAATCTGCAGCCGAGCCTCCAACTTTGGGTAGAAAAAAAATATTTCTTCTGTGAAAAGGTGATCTAGATACAGAAAACCCCATCTCAGCAAATCAGTTCACCGCTCTCCTCTGTTGTTTTCATCACACCAGCTGTAAAACATTTAGTTTGCTGGACGAACTTCAGATGAAATCGTGTGATGAGTTTTTAAACAGATGTGCTGCTAGTGCACACAAAAGAGATTAGAAGCAAGCACTGGATTTTATAATTTTCTATATTTAAAATGTCTGTGAGGGTCAAGAATAAAAAAAATTATGTTAGATTAATTTGTGTGCAACGTAACGGCTTTGCTGACTAAGTTTACCTGCAGACCACTTCTTAACTGACACATCTCCCTCAGACCACCTTAAATCCACAGGACTTATCGGTATTAGAAAGAGGTTTTAACTGATTCCTCTGACTTTTCCACTGCTTCCTATAAAATGTGTGTTGTCTGTTTTCACCCAGCTGCTTCAGGCCCTGCTAAACACATTTTAATGCTTGCTGCCATCCAAATCTCCTCTCCTCACTGCCAGTATCACTGTGACTTAGCTGGCACCGTAGCACAGAGGCCTTTCTCACTGCCTGTGACTATCCTTCTGTGGTAACATGACTTGTAGAGCCACATTTTCCTGATGCTTCTGTAAACGCTTGAAGGAACATTTCAGACACTTCAAAGTGTGTTTCTGTTTAACAGTTATTAATATTTATTATATCATCCGTTGTAGATGGATTTCTGAACAGCCTCAGTTTGGAAGAGATTGTTTATTTATAACTTTTACACAGAAACACATTTCAGAGGAAATGAAAAGTCATTTTGAAGCAGAAATGTCGATCATGCTGGTGGTCAGAATCTGTTCTTTTTATAGTAAAGTTCGTTCTCGGTCTCCAGATTGAAGCGGTCTGATCACCAACTCCTATGGGACCATCGGCTCCACTGTCGGAGGGACCACCCCAGCAGCCTCCCCAAAGTGTTAGCCAGCGCCCCCAGCTGGGACTGGGCCAGCATGGCTCACATCCACTCCTTGCTGCACCACTGGCCCGCCCTGCCCCTAGTCACTGCACTGGAGCTGCTTGACTCAAAGTATGCTCTGTTCTCGGTACTCACACGTAACAGATACAGTGGGGCAAAAAAGTATTTAGTCAGCCACCGATTGTGCAAGTTCTCCCACTTAAAATGATGACAGAGGTCAGTAATTTACATCATAGGTACACGTCAACTGTGAGAGACAGAATGTGAAATAAAAACCATGAATTCACATGGCAGGATTTTTAAAGAATTTATTTGTAAATCAGGGTGGAAAATAAGTATTTGGTCACTTCAAACAAGGAAAATCTCTGGCTCTCACAGACCTGTAACGTCTTCTTTAAGAAGCTTTTCTGTCCTCCACTCGTTACCTGTATTAATGGGACCTGTTTGAGCACATTATCTGTATAAAAGACACCTGTCCACAGCCTCAAACAGTCAGACTCCAAACTCCACTATGGCCAAGACCAAAGAGCTTTTGAAGGACACCAGGAAAATAATTGTAGACCTGCACCAGACTGGGAAGAGTGAATCTACAGTAGGCAAGCAGCTTGGTGTGGAAAAAATCAACTGTGGGAGCTATTATCAGAAAATGGAAGACATACAAGACCACTGATAATCTCCCTCGATCTGGGGCTCCACGCAAGATCTCATCCCGTGGGGTCAAAATGATCATGAGAACGGTGAGCAAGAATCCCAGAACCACACGGGGGGACCTGGTGAATGACCTGCAGAGAGCTGGGACCACAGTAACAAAGGTCACCATCAGTAACACACTACAACGGCAGGGAATCAAATCCTGCAGTGCCAGACGTGTTCCGCTGCTGAAGCCAGTGCATGTCCAGGCCCGTCTGAAGTTTGCCAGAGAGCACATGGATGATACAGCAGAGGATTGGGAGAATGTCATGTGGTCAGATGAAACCAAAGTAGAACTTTTTGGTATAAACTCAACTTGTCGTGTTTGGAGGAAGAAGAATACTGAGTTGCATCCCAAGAACACCATACCTACTGTGAAGCATGGGGGTGGGAACATCATGCTTTGGGGCTGTTTTTCTGCTAAGGGGACATGACAACTGATCCGTGTTAAGGACAGAATGAATGGGGCCATGTATCATGAGATTCTGAGCCAAAACTTCCTTCCATCAGTGAGAGCTTTGAAGATGAAACGTGGCTGGGTCTTCCAACACGACAATGATCCCAAACACACCACCCGGGCAACAAAGAAGTGGCTCCGTAAGAAGCATTTGAAAGTCCTGGAGTGGCCTAGCCAGTCTCCAGACCTCAACCCCATAGAAAATCTGTGGAGGGAGTTGAAAGTCCGTGTTGCTCGGCGACAGCCCCAAAACATCACTGCTCTCGAGAAGATCTGCATGGAGGAATGGCCCAAAATACCAGCTACTGTGTGTGCAAGCCTGGTAAAGACCTATAGTAATCGTTTGACCTCTGTTATTGCCAACAAAGGTTACGTTGCAAAGTATTGAGTTGAATTTTTGTTATTGACCAAATACTTATTTTCCACCCTGATTTACAAATAAATTCTTTAAAAACCCTGCTATGTGAATTCATGGATTTTTTTTTTCACATTCTGTCTCTCACAGTTGAAGTGAACCTATGATGAAAATTACTGACCTGTGTCATCATTTTAAGTGGGAGAACTTGCACAATCGGTGGCTGACTAAATACTTTTTTGCCCCACTATACGTGTGATAAATATATAAATCTCAGAATGTGCGGAGGGGTTCTGGTTCTGGAAACTTGACTTTGATTAATTGCGATCATATAGGTTTGCAGATACTGAAGTGAGAAGTGTGGCAGTAAGCTGGATTGAGGAAAGCAGTGATGATGAGCTGGCTGACTACCTTCCTCAGCTCGTACAGGTATACACGCTTTAAAGAAACTTCTCCTTTTTATTCACAAGTTCTACAATTATAGTTAAAAATGCTTCTCTCGGCTCTTTCAGGCAATAAAGTTTGAGTGTCACCTAAAGAATGCTCTGGTCATGTTCCTGTTATCCAGAGCACAAGGCAACATCATCATAGCCCACCACCTGTACTGGTCAGTCTGCAGCAGAACTGAAATAACACAAACCTAACATATGCATACATACAACACACACAGCATCTCAAACTGCAATAAAAACCAGAGAATAAAAATGTGTTGAAAGGAGATTAAAAGCCCCCAGAGTCTGATGTGCAGTAGCAGCTCCATCACATCTAAATTTACAAGCTTCTGAAACGATTTATTCATCAGACAAGTAAACAGGCGGTGCATTTATTTCTTAATGTGAGTTTGGTGTGATGTCTCCTCAGGCTGCTGAAGGATGCCATGCAGGACCCTGCCTGGTGGTGGCGCTATGAGCAGGTTATGGGTTCCCTGCTGTGTCTGTGTGGAAGTAAACTGAGGGCCGAACTGGAGAAACAGACTAACCTGGTCACTTTGCTGGGAATTGTGGCTGAGAGGGTCCGGCAGGCTGGGGGGTCCACACGGCAGGTAGTTCACTAGCTAAATATACGTGATTTTTAAAGTGTGTGCTGGATTTACGTTTATGTTGTATGTTTGTGTCTGTTTAGGTCGCCCTCCAGGAGGGACTTGAGAATGTTCAGAACTTATTCCAGAGAAACCGCTGCAGACTTCCTCTCAGTCCCAGTCTGGTGGCTAAAGAGCTGAACATGAAGGTGGATCTGGAATCACAAATGAACCAAACATAATGCTCTGGAAACAGAAGGAGAGAAACTTGATGATTTTGTTGGAAATTTTTGAGATAAAAGTTTCTCTGCTTGGCTCTAATGGAACTGTGGGTGTTTAAAATCATTAAATAGACCCAAAATATTGTGGGGGGGTGGGTTGGGGGGGGGGGGGGTGTTAATCATCAATCATCTTTTATGGATCAGCAGCTTGTAGGCAGTAAACATCTAGTTTAAGTAAATATAGACCTCTTATGCGTTTCTTGTAAGGCTCAGGTCAATCAAATGTTGCCTGAGTTCAGTTTTGATACTTCAGTGTAAAAGCATCAAGCATCTGGTCCAGCACAACTTCATGTTTAAAAGGAAGTAATAACCCAACAGCTTCAGGTGTGTGAGTTAAAGTCCAGTTTGCACCGATTTGGTTTGTTACAAGTCGCTGCTGCCTGGTTGAATGAGAATCCGTCCCAGCATTCTGGATTTTATCTCTTAGGAAAAAACGAAGATAAGCAAGTCTGTTCTTGAATTTGTTGGAAAACAGAAGCAGAAGTGTTCCTGAAAGGTGCTCTGACTGATTAAATAATAATTCTTGTGTTTGCATGAAGGCCTGTTCCTTCTTCAGCTCCAACGCAGTTCCCCTAAAGCTGGCCTTGGTTAATGCCGACCCTCTGGGAGAGGAGATCAACGTCATGTTTAAGGTAATGAGTACGTTTACACTCAGAGAACAGAACAAGGTTCAAAATAATTCACTCATAAGAGGTTCTAGGGAGCTGGTTCTACTATATACACCACAATCATTATTCACTAGTTTAGGCCAGGGAGTCCTCAAGTACATCCAGGCTTGTTGCAACAAGCTGCGTTTCCATTTCTTCTCATCAGCACACTGCGCCCTCTGGTGGCCAAATTGAGGGCCACTGTGTTACTCCTGTCGATCTCAATGTGTGTGTGTGTGTGTGTGTGTGTGTGTGTGTGTGTGTGTGTGTGTGTGTGTGTGTGTGTGTGTGTGTGTGTGTGTGTGTGTGTGTGTGTGTGTGTGTGTGTGTGTGTGTGTGTGTCAGGTGGGAGAAGACCTGAGGCAGGACATGCTGGCTCTGCAGATGATTCGCATTATGGACCGTATCTGGTTGCAGGAGGGGCTGGATCTCCGCATGGTACACTTTAAATGTGTCTCCACTGGCAAGGACAGAGGTAACTGAGCAAAAGTTCTACTCTGCTTAGTTAAGCATTCATTTAGCTCTACCACAGAGAGCTTCATTCATAGGTGAGTTTTTATGTTGATTCAAGCTCTCATATTGTGCAGGTATGGTGGAGCTGGTGCCGTTCTCTGACACCCTCAGAAAGATTCAGGTAGAATATGGAGTCACCGGATCTTTCAAGGATAAGCCTCTGGCAGAATGGCTTCGCAAATACAATCCTGCTGAGGATGAATATGAGAAGGTACTCTCTGAACAGCGTTTAGTTACGTAGATTAACTTTAAACTGGGATGTCCCGATCACATGATCGGAAATCGGCCCCGATCACGTGGTTTCAGACTGATCGGGACTCGGGTTTACTTCCAGATCCGGGCTCGGATACTGGGTTCAAATTACAGGAGAGGAACTTGGTTCTCCTTAAAGGTTGTCAGGCTCCCCTGATGCCCTTAACTTACACACCCAGAAGGAGCACAAAAGAGATCCAGTTTCTACCTTTATTATATTATTTATATGAACTCAGAGTAGCGGGGATTCGTTTGAGCAGAGCGGCAGGCAGACCGCTGATTATTCACGAACTCCAGCTGCGTTGTGCACACGGCCACAGTAACATTTCCTAAGTTTCCAAGTGGCGTCACCAAAAAATATGTAATTAACACACAGTCGTTCGTGTCTGTTCATTTTCTCTCTGGTAAGTTCTGTCTGTATTTGAGCATGACGTCTGGTCGCGCTCGCGCTGCAACGCCCGTCACTGGCGCAGCCGGGCAGCGCGGCACACACTCCGCTTTTTTTGCGGTCAATAGATCAATTTGATCTGCTAGTTAAAAAGTTACTTGTGAGGTGAAAAAGAAGGAAGCAGGCAGGAGTTTTTCTGGAGGACTGGGAGATGCAGGAAGAGCAGAGACAGACAGGACAGGAAGGCAGGAAAATAAAAACCAAGAAAACAAAACAAAGTTCTTAAAAAATAAAATGTAGATAGATTGATCCCATTACACGTTTGTACCTGTATGAAGCAATAAGTTATCAGCATGTAGTTTTTATATAGTTGATACAATTCAGATCATCTTCAAAACCAGTGTTGCCAACTTCCCCTGATAGAAAGTAGCTGAAGTTGACCCAGAAACTCACCCAGATGTCGCCAGATGATGTCAAATGCTAATTTGCATATTCATGATGTCATCACGCCAGATTGGCTTTCATTTTCCCCATAGCTTCTAAAATATATATATATATATATATATATATATATATATATATATATGTATGTATGTATGTATGTATGTACTGAAGATTTTAAAAACATGATGGTCTTTTTAGAACTAAAAGGGAGGAAAATAAAAAAACTATTTTATGTGTTAATGTTATTGATTAGTATGATTAAAATGGCCCAAATTGCTTTGTTATTTAAAATTAATTCCAAAAGTATCAATAAAGGGACATTAAGACAGATATGGTGTGGTGATCCAAACAGTTCTGTTGTAGGATATAACTCAGACCTGCTCTCCTCATTCTCACAGACATTTTCCTAAAAAGCTGGTTTTTTACACTTCAAAGTTTCTCAGCTGCTCTGTTGTGTATTCTCTCCATCGTGGTAATAACGGCGCACCGAGCAAAGGGGAGCAGGTGTCTCATAGTGTAACCATCCCTGTGTCACTGAAGGAAATTCAGATGAGCCACAGAGCTGCGTGTGTAAACGGGACGGTAGTTGAAACTCCCGTTGACTTTATTTGCCAAATGTAGGAAAAACCAAAGTGTCTGACGGCTGCAGAACCAGAGGTGGCAGGTTGACGCCCGCACCGTCTCTAGTAGAAGCGTGAGCCTGCAGCAGCAGCAGACGTACGTCGGCGGTCTCCAGCTCTGCAGTTGTACCTTTGTCTTCGCCCAGCCGAAAACGGTTTATGATTGGTCAGTCCTCGTGCACGTGCAGATTATCGTCCTCTTTCCTTACTCCCGGAAGAACGGTTCAGAGTGGAAATGGTTTCTTTGTTGCTAATCTGTAGGGAATATCTACAAGAAAGTTCTACAGAAAGTAGCAACGGGTCCTGAGAAATGTCGCTAGGCACTTTTTGGAAAAAAAGTCGTTAGGAACGGTGACAAAGTTGCTGAGTTGGCAACACTGTTCAAAACTCCGTCCCATGCCCAGAGACGTATCTAAGCATTTTGGGGGCCAGGGCGAAATAGACCCCTGCCAGGTATTTTAAGTTGAAGTGCCATCTGTTTTTATATTAGACTTTTTATATTTGCAATAAAGTCCAAAAGTGAAGAATTTATGTTATTTATTACTTGATTGTTCAAGCTACCTCACAGAAGTGATTGTTGTTAAACATTAAAATAAAAAGGTAATTAAATAAAAAATAAGGAACATTCTGGAACTGTTTCTTCCTTTTCTTTTCTTTTTTTTTTTTGTCTTTTGTTTTTTATGTATCAAAAGTATTGTATCGGGACTCGGTATCGGCAGATTCTCAAAATCAAATGACTCGGACTCGAAGGCAACAAAAACCTGATCGGGACATCCCTAGTTTAAACCCACATCTGTTAAATATAATTGGTTGTATTGTGTGTATTATGTTCTCTGTGTGTATGCAGTGTTTCATAGATCAGAGAATTAATTAGTTAAAGATTCTATTCAAAGTTTTATAAATTAAACCTCTAACCCTAGCCCTTAAAAAGCTAAATTTAAGTAATTTGAGTGTTAGACCGCATTATGGTAAAACCTTGCTAACCTAAACGCTTCTCTTCCACCTTTAGGCATCAGAGAACTTCATTTACTCCTGCGCTGGCTGCTGCGTAGCGACCTACGTACTTGGTATCTGTGATCGCCACAATGACAACATCATGCTGCGCTCCACTGGCCACATGTTTCACATTGACTTTGGGAAGTTCCTGGGTCATGCTCAGATGTTTGGCAGCTTCAAAAGGTACAAATGTGGCCACATGTGGTCTCTTCAGATGATGTGTGCTTTGGTCTGAAGAATGGACCAGGCTGTCAACAACATTTGTTTATTTTTATTGCATCCTTATTAACAGAGAAGGTCAAACATCCTTCATGAGTATATTGCATCAGTAAATCAGAGCTTTACATGACCTGCCATCATGTTTTAAACTTGTAAAAACAATTAGAATTTCAGAATTTCTTTCTACAGGGAGTGCAGAATTATTAGGCAAGTTGTATTTTTGAGGAATCATTTTATTATTGAACAACAACCATGTTCTCAATGAACCCAAACAACTCATTAATATCAAAGCTGAATGTTTTTGAAAGTAGTTTTTAGTTTGTTTGTAGTTTTAGCTATTTTAGGGGGATATCTGTGTGTGCAGGTGACTATTACTGTGCATAATTATTAGGCAACTTAACAAAAAACAAATGTATACCCATTTCAATTATTTATTTTTACCAGTGAAACCAATATAACACCTCCACATTCACAAATATACATTTCTGACATTCAAAAACAATACAAAAACAAATCAGCGACCAATATAGCCACCTTTCTTTGCAAGGACACTCAAAAGCCTGCCATCCATGGATTCTGCCAGTGTTTTGATCTGTTCACCATCAACATTGCGTGCAGCAGCAACCACAGCCTCCCAGACACTGTTCAGAGAGGTGTACTGTTTTCCCTCTTTGTAAATCTCACATTTGATGATGGACCACAGGTTCTCAATGGGGTTCAGATCAGGTGAACAAGGAGGCCATGTCATTAGTTTTTCTTCTTTTATACCTTTCTTGCCAGCCACGCTGTGGAGTACTTGGACGCATGTGATGGAGCATTGTCCTGCATGAAAATCATGTTTTTCTTGAAGGATGCAGACTTCTTCCTGTACCACTGCTTGAAGAAGGTGTCTTCCGGAAACTGGCAGTAGGACTGGGAGTTGAGCTTGGCTCCATCCTCAACCCGAAAAGGCCCCACAAGCTCATCTTTGATGATACCAGCCCAAACCAGTACTCCACCTCCACCTTGCTGGCGTCTGAGTCGGACCGGAGCTCTCTGCCCTTTACCAATCCAGCCACAGGCCCATCCATCTGGCCCATCAAGACTCACTCTCATTTCATCAGTCCATAAAACCTTAGAAAAGTCAGTCTTGACATATTTCTTGGCCCAGTCTTGACGTTTCAGCTTGTGTGTCTTGTTCAGTGGTGGTCGTCTTTCAGCCTTTCTTACCTTGGCCATGTCTCTGAGTATTGCACACCTTGTGCTTTTGGGCACTCCAGTGATGTTGCAGCTCTGAAATATGGCCAAACTGGTGGCAAGTGGCATCTTGGCAGCTGCACGCTTGACTTTTCTCAGTTCATGGGCAGTTATTTTGCGCCTTGGTTTGTCCACACGCTTCTTGCGACCCTGTTGACTATTTTGAATGAAACGCTTGATTGTTCGATGATCACGCTTCAGAAGCTTTGCAATTTTAAGACTGCTGCATCCCTCTGCAAGATATCTCACTATTTTTGACCTTTCTGAGTCTGTCAAGTGCTTCTTTTGACCCATTTTGCCAAAGGAAAGGAAGTTGCCTAATAATTATGCATACCTGATATAGGGTGTTGATGTCATTAGACCACACCCCTTCTCATTACAGAGACGCACATCACCTAATATGTTTAATTGGTAGTAGGCTTTCGAGCCTATACAGCTTGGAGTAAGACAACATGCATGAAGAGGATGATGTGGACAAAATACTCATTTGCCTAATAATTCTGCACTCCCTGTAATGATCATAAACAAAATAAGAATCTGCACACGTCAATCTGCGATGTAGGAGTTTATTGGTCAAGCTTTCAGTCAGAGACCTTCATCAGGAATTGTGGAGGTTCACACCAAACAATCCTTAGTTAAACAGGTCATTTGATTGGACATCGGGTCATTACCTTAACCAGAAGTCATAACTTTCACAGGAAGTAGTTTTTTTTAAAGAAAACTTACTGGAAACAGCTTTTTATTTCAGATTTTTTTCTCTTCAAATCTGGACTGGCAAACTTTTAAGTAATGTCGTTGCCTACGTTGCATGAAAATTGAATATTAAATCCCTTTGTCCTTCAGACAGGGAATTTTTATGACAGTAGCACATATATAAATATGTATATATATATATATATATATATATATATATATATATATATGTATATATATGGATGGATGGATGGATGGATAGATGGATAGATGGATAGATGGATAGATGGATATAATCACAAACTATGTTTTTTGCATTCTGCTACGAGCTTAGAATAATCTAGAACAGGTTTCAAGACTTTATGTGTTGTAGTTTTTGAGCTAGAGCAGATTAAAAATGGTCAGAGTAGATAAAAATTGGGCCCTTTAGCCATTTCCCAAATCGGAAGCTAACTTTAGCCTCGTATGAAAACTAGTGATTGAAACCACTTACAAACTTCTGAAAATCTACGCTTTTTAATTAAAAAAGGGTATTAATAACGTTTCAGTCAAGTCAGTATTAGAAATCGTGGTCTTTATATCATATCTAAATTATATATGAAGTTAATATTACTTTAACTGTTTTAACAAACAGGGAGACCAGAAAAATCAAATAGCTAAGTTAAAGCTAAGCTACAATTGCTGATTGCTTTATTGATGTAACTTTTGTGTTAGCTTGTGAACTCCCTGCATTAGTTTTAAGACTGCGTGTTAATATTGATACAATTAGCTATGAAACACAGTGCCTTAAAAATAATTCTCTGGTAAAGCTTTAAATGCTATAGTGCCTACATTTAAGAACTAAGAACGGTTGCAACAATTAGTTAATTTCATCCTTACCTTTCCTCTTTGAAACCCGCCGAGTATGGTTGAAACAAAAGCAGCCGCCAAAAAAATGCCAATTTCCGGCCGAGGTCTTTCGCTCGTCGATTTTCCGGTAAAAGTAATGACACGCCATCTTGCTCTCGCTAGAAAGTTATTCCGGTGACATGCCAGCTGATGTCTGCAGCCAGGTCCTACTCCTCTCTACTGGACTCCAGTCACCTCTGAGCACACAAACCCTAAAGTGTTCAGGCTGCTCTTCTCCTTCATAGATGAAGGAGACACTTAAAAGGCATTCATTATAAGACTGATATAAGTAACCCAGAATGATTTCACAGACATCAAAAGTTCATTTGATGTAAACTTGATGATGGAGCTTACATGTAAATGCTATCTAATAATTTAGTGTTTCTTTATGTCACTTTCTGAATTTACAAGGATCCAGATCTCCTCTTTTGGGTCACTGAATTCAGGTGTAGGAGAAACTGCTGCAGGGTTAATGAATGTTCTCATGCATGGCCTGCTTCTTTACCACAACTCGAATCTTAGAGGTTTTCAAGGTTTTTAAACCCGTTAGCTGTCTGTAGACCTCCTGCAGCCATTTGTCTTGCCCGTCATATGAAGAACTTAAATCTTAATCCATTCTTTCCCACCAGAGACCGAGCTCCATTTGTTTTGACCTCTGACATGGCGTATGTCATCAACGGAGGCGAGCGTCCCACTAGTCGCTTCCAGCTGTTTGTAGACCTCTGCTGCCAGGCTTACAACCTCATCCGCAAGAACTCTGGGCTTTTCCTCAACTTGCTGTCTTTGGTGAGGGAGGACACGCACACACACACGCACACGCACGCACGATCCCACATACAAAGCAGTACGGTGCCGTTTGTCATAAAGGCTTAGGCGTTATTTTAGATTTTCTCACATGCTTTAGTTGAAGTTGTGGAAGTGGAGTTGTGGGGAGAGACCTTGTTCTTCATTTATTGCTGCCTAAGCTTTTCTGTTTTCTTTTGCACCTGCAGGAGTCAGAGTGACTAATGAGCGTCTGAGAAAAACCTTTTCTTTTATAACATAATAAATCTGTGCTTCATTGTAGGGGTGAGCAGTATAAACGGTATACGGTAGAAATGATATTAATTTGGCCATCGGTAGAGAGTTTGACTATATCGACCTATCGCAATAGTGCATGTTGACGTCATCATCAAGCGGTATCTGTTGAGGCTGAAAGCATGAAGCCTGTGGAGGAGGAGGTTCTCGTAAAGAAGACCGGTGCAACATCGGTCATTTGGACTTGGTTTGGCTGTAAGGAGTCAGATGTGGAGCAGAACAATATCAGGGTTTCCCTGAACGCTTTTGTAAGCCTGCCCACCCGCCAGGCTAAGTGTCATGCCCCGCCCCCCTCCTCGACCCTACCGTGTCCGCTGACTCGAACGGTGCAATGCAACTAGAGCCCTCCATCAGCTGATACTGGTGAGAAACAGCAGCGGAACGTGTGGAGGAGGAGCGCTGCGATCCAGGCCAGTTTTCTCTGGGTGGCAAGCCTAGCCAAGAAATACCTTTGTATTCCTGCCACGAGTGCCCCCTCAGAAAGAGCATTCAGCACCAGTGGCAACATAGTAACCATCGACATATAAATATTGGACAATGGGTTTCCATAGGCTCCAATAACACGTTTTTGAGGCCAAATGGGAGGTGGCCACCACCGCCATTTTGACCGTGTCACAGGTTCCGTCAAGCCCAGACAATTCCACAAAAGGGAAGAGAGGTGGAGCTGAGGGTGGGACTGTAAGGCTGGGATCAACTGACGACACCCGGTCGAACTAGCTACAAGCTAACCTGAAGCTAACCCAAAGCTAACGCGGAGGTGGGAGCTAAGCTAACGGAGGTAGCAACCTAGCTACAACCGGAGTTAACTGTGCACAACACCAGAGCTTCTGAGTCAGAGATACGCCGGGCTGACAGCTGGGTAAAACTGGGTGGAACACAGAGGTCTCCGAGAGCTCCACAAGCCGGCAACCGCACAGCAGACAAGCGCCGCTGTGATCTGAGATGCGCAGAGCTGCTGCTGGGGAGAACCGGGTGGAAAGGTTTCCATCCCAGAGCTCCATAAGTTGGCAACCCGCGCAGCAAACAGAAGCCGCGATCAGACAGAGATGCGCCGAGCTGCGGGGAGGGGAGAAACGGGTGGAAAACATCGGTCTCCCGAGAGCTCCACGAGCCGATAGTCGGAACCCAGCTCCACCAACATGTGATATTTCAACCCATTTTCTAAAGTGCAGCATTATGTTAAATGCACTGGGTTTTACCCTATTACATTTAAATTTCATGGTTAAACAGTACATGTTAAAATCTAAGCTCAGCTCGGCAGTGACCTAAATACATAAATATAATTTTACTTAACGAAAAAAATGAAGTGGAGACTCCTTGGACGCTCTATTAGTGCAATTAATACCACATCAAGTCATTTTGTCCAACAATTGCACAAATAATATCCAAAGAAGAATACACACGCACAGACTTAAAATTCCAGAACAGTTTCCAGGCCAGACCGAGGCTCAGGCTGAGGCCTTTCCACGGAGCTAGCTCTGTGGTCACGTGGGTCTGATGCTCATTAATTATACAGAATTTTAGGCTTTTAATACACTTAAACAGAAGAGTGAGAAAAAAATTCACCCCCCTCAGAGTTGTCATGAGTGTAAACTAGATCATTTAAACAAAACACATGTTTTGGTACCAGGCTGTAAACATGTTTATTTCTGCTGTGAAATTGGTATTTTTAACATGGGAGTCAATGAGGATTTGCTCGCTTCTGGTACCAGCCCCTAGTGGATGAGGGTGGAACTGCAATTTGTTTCATTTCCACATTTGCTTCAATTTTTCACCCGCATTGTGGGGGCTTGGTAGTAACATGTCCCAGATCTGCACTGAAGCCTGAGACTGAACAAACTGGTGTTCCTGGCAAGCAACCTCTGATGTGCAGGAAAGTTTAATCACTGCTGACAAGGAGCACAAACAGTGATGATTATTGTTCATATTTGCAATTGATATTGCAGGTTAGAAATTTGTTCTGTTGAGAGTTTGTAGTTCTAATATGTGCAGCTTTATTTTGTGCAATATAAATAAGTAATCAGGAAAGAAGGAAAAATGTTTTTTGTTTTACATTTTTTACTTTATTAGAAAAACTTGTGTTTTGCTAACTTTTACTTGTATTTTTATTTAAAATATCCAAAATTGTATTTTTTATTAAAGAATGGTGTGTTCCATTTTTGGGAAAACATTACTTGAAAAGCTTTTTGATTTTTGCACAATAAATATTCTTAAAATGGCATTTTATACTTTTTGAAGTGTGTTTATTCTGCTGCTGCAATGTACCTGGTATGTGAGTATGTTTAGAAACAGTCGTTTTTGACATATATCCAAAAGAAAGTCATATTTCGCAATATATACCGTTACCGCATATTTTTCAAATTATATCGCAATATAGATTTTAGGCCATATCGCCCACCCCTACTTCATTGCTGTCCTGGAAATGTCTGTTTATAGTTATTATTTTAGTGTAAATGAATTCTGGAAATAGTCACCTATTTTACTTCATTTATAAAGAAGCACATGTATTTGTTTTGTATATTGACATAAATATTGTATGCTTGTGTCTCTCTACGTGTGCACTCATAGATGACATCCTCAGGCCTGCCAGAGCTGACCGGCTCTCAGGATCTGAAGTATGTGTTTGATGCCCTTCAGCCCCACAACACAGATGCTGAAGCCACCATCTTCTTCACAAGGTGGCTGTTTTTGTTCTCTCAGCTTAAATGATTCACAGAAGTCTTCCTCTCTGCTTCTTTTCCTATAAAAGAAAGAGAAAACTTCTCGCTCTTTGTTCCCCAGAGTGTTTCCTAACCCAAATATTTCCTCCTGCATGCAGTTTTTATTTTGGGTCTCACATGCAACAAACCAAAACATCATCAGGGTTAACCGTTCCAGCAAAACCAGGCTGGATGCATACAACAGAAAATGTTGAAGTGAATCATGTTTTCAGCTGAGAACGTTTGGGTTTTAGTGATATCTCACGATTTTCCTCCATGTTTTCTCCGTTCTGCCACAGGCTGATTGAATCCAGTCTTGGAAGCATAGCCACCAAGTTTAACTTCTTCATCCACAACCTCGCTCAGCTCCGATTCTCTGGCCTTCCTACCAACGATGAGCCGATCCTGTCTTTCTCCCCAAAGACGTACACGATGAAGCAGGAGGGATGCATTGTCCATGCCTCCATCTTCTCCTTCCAGAAGAGATACAGTCCTGACAAGCACTATGTGAATCCCACAGCTGCCCTTGTATTTGTGTTTAGTGTTCCATCTCATATCAGGGTTGTGCTAAACTAAACTGTTCTCTGAGCAGACCTACGTGGTGAGGATCCTCAGGGACGGTCAGACTGAGCCTCAGTTTGTTTTTCGTACTTTTGACGAGTTTCAGGAGCTTCACAACAAACTGACCATCCTTTTTCCTCTTTGGAAGCTGCCATGGTAGGACATCACCTCCACCTGGTCTCAATGATTCTGATCTGGTTTTATCCTCCTGATAAAACCTGTTGTTTGGAGACCTTGTCCTACATTAACATGTCAGAAACATCCACGCACGTTTTGCTAATTCTTTGCAAAGAGTAATTCAAGTATTCTGACGTTCTTTAATTTCTAGTTTTCCTAATAAAATGGTTCTCGGCCGCACCCATATTAAAGAAGTGGCAGCCAAGAGGAAGTTGGAGCTCAGCAGCTATGTGCACAACTTGATGAAGTGCTCAACGGAGGTCACACAGGTAGACACACTCATTGCTGAAGATCTCATGTAATAGAGCTCCGGACGTCACGTGACTCAGAGAGTAGACGCCATGTTGGCAGGCAACAAATGTAAACAAAATGAACGGGATCGGCTTGGATTTTACTCTGTCGGAGTTTACTTCACACTTTAAAACCGAAGAAATCGTTTTATATAGTCAGAAATTAAATCGACTAAACATCTCCGACCCTTACCGTGCCCCTGGGATACTTTTTAAAAATGCCAGAAGCTGTCGGAGCGGACTTCTTACCGGACCTGGCCGGGGAATGCCTTGGGATTCCCCCGGAGGAGCTGGCCCAAGTGGCTGGGGAGAGGGAAGTCTGGGCCTCTCGACGCTACTGCCCCCGCAGCCCAACTCCGGATAAGCGGATGAAAATGGATGGATGGATAAATACATGTAAGAAGTTTAAATAGAGCGCTGTGCTGTTTGAATGTATAAACTGAACGCCAAGAGAAATCACTAGTCTGATTTTTTTCTGTGAATAAAATAAAAATGTCAGGCAGGAGCGTCTCAGGATCTGTCTGAGATCTGTCTCGGTGAGACAGATAATAGCAATCCAAAGTGCTTTTTATGTGTGATCTGATAATTGATCAACCATTGCTTAAAAATTAAATACAGCTTAGCCGGTTAATTGCTGTGATCATAAAACACGTAAACGGCAGCACGCAGAGCTCACGAGGCAACGTTTTACGTGATGTTTACTTGTTGCTATGAGTAATAAGACAGAAAAAGGCACGCCAAAATAAGTTTAGGAAGCCCACTAAGAATCGTAATAAAAGCATTTACAATAAATACCATATACAGTTGAGGAAACGCTGGTTTAAGTACCTGATATGAAGTGGTTGCTTTACTCTCGGGATCCCAGTTTCATTTTAGCCTGGAGACCAGTGCATTTTATTGCAATGGTCTGACGTTTGCGGCGTTCCGGAACTTGGGGAATCCTGTAGACGGCTCATCCCTTATGTCGTCCGCATCTGTTCTGCATCCTGGGGCACAACAGGAATCTACCATATTTCCCGTTTGAGTTTTCTGACAACAAATAGCCCAGCTGCGGGCTTCTGCCTGCCAAGATGGCGTTGTTTCGATTTGAACTGTTGCATGCTGGGAGTTGTGACGTCAACTCCCGGAGCTCTATTGACTGAGACTTGTTGATTAAGTTGCCTGATCTTTTGTTCCAGTGTGACCTGATCTACACATTCTTTCACCCGATTGCACGAGACGAGAAGACGGAAGGTTTAGAGGCCACACCCAGAGCACCTGGTAATTGTTTCACTTTCATGTTATTTATAAGTATTTGGTATTTCATAATGTTTTCGTTTCAGTTTCATCCTTAAACCGTTTTTAGTAACCAAAAGTCCAAAGAAAGAACTATTATTTGGTTTTGTTGTTAAAAATGTGACTAAATAAACAAAAAAAAAAAAAAACTGGAAAATATACATCTTATCCAATACCTTTCAAGCTTAAATTTCAAGTTAAAGTCATCTTATGTTGAGAAGGGATGAAATATACACTGGCTGGCCAAAAAAGGTCACCACCTAGGTTTAAGTATGATCTGGGGTTGCTGCAGTTGGTCAGGTCTAGGTTCAACAACAGGATGCGCTCCAAGAATGAGTTCAGCTGACGACCTGAATGTACCGAATGACCAGGTTATTCCATCTTCCCTGATAACACGGGCTTATTCCAAGATGACAATGCCAGGATTCATCAGGCTCAGATAGTGAAAGAGTGGTTCAGGGAGCATGAGGCATCATTTTAACACATGGATTGGCCACCACAGAGTCCAGACCTTAACCCCATTGAGAATCTTTGAGACGTGGTGGAGAAGGTTTTGTGCAGCGGTCAGACTCTACCATCATCAATGCAAGAATGTGGTGATAAATGAATGCAACACTGGATGGAAATAAATCTGGCGACGCTGCAGAAGCTTTAAACATCTTGTACGTTTATTCTGTGTTTCATCCAACTGCATTAGTTGGTTCTTTTTCTAACACAGCAAAAAGTAGTTTTTACCTTGTTTTTGATGACATTTCAACTAACACCGAAGTTTTCCTCAGAGCTTCACCGCTGTTGGTGGCGTCACTTCCTTCTCCGCTTACCAGCGGACAGCAGAGGACAATGTCGCCCTCTGCTGTCCGCGTTCTCCTCGCCGATGACACAGTCCCATGCGTTATGCAATATCTAGACCCCAATGTCTCTGTTCATGGTTATGTGTCCACGTTTCCTTACGTCTTGCCACCAACAGCGGCAAAGCTCTGAGAAAGACTACAGTGTTAGTTGAAACATCAGCAAAAACAAGGTAAAAACAACTCTTTTGCTTTAAACATCTTTTGTTCGTTCGTTCGGTTTGTTTCATCCAACTGCCTTACTTGGTTCTTTTTTAAACCAGCAAAAGAAACAATGCCACAGCGATTGTGTTCCATAATCAAACCAAATCGAGCTTTTTTTGGCCAGGCAGTGTTTAGTTTTCTACAAGATCTAACATGATCTGTTGGTGTGTTGTAAATGAATCTCTGCTACAACACCAAACAGGAGATGGGTCTCTGTAGAGTTGGTTAAAGTGACAGTGTGTATTTTTCCTGGCGATAGGGGGCAGTAGATACCAAAATTGTTACAAGCAAGCAGTATGTTTGTGTTGGAATAAGACCGTACCAACGGATGCCCATTAGGGTCAAAAAGCCCTGGGGAGTGCAACCTTTAATAAAATAACAAGCACATCAGACTCGCTTTCATCACTGGCAACAAGTGAAAAATAAAATTTATTAATAGAAATGATCACAACACTAAAATATTAGGTGAACAGAAATGACAAGTTACAGTGAAGCCACTTTCAGGCAACTGCATTGCTATCGGTTAACTTTTACCAATACCAATACGGCTCAACACCCTAACAATTGCCCCAGTGAAATAATGTATTACTTACCTATCTATTAACAGCACAGCTAGGTCAGAGTGCATAGTACATTCCGTTCTTTCAAGAAGAGCTCTCCATCGACGAAAAGCCGGCTCAATATTAACTCTGGCTATTGCTCTTGCTCTACCGCGTTCTCTTGTTCTTTTCATAGATTCCTCTGATAAGAGATTTCTAGCTTTCTTTGGTGGATCTGCCATTGCTCAAGTCCCTAAACTGCGGGTTTACATGATACTTCCTAAAAGCAACACAGGTTAAAGTCACCTTATGTTGAGAAGGGGACTGCAGGTCAAAAACTGTATAGTGCGGTAAACAGACGAGGGAACCCATAACACTATTACAGCTCAGAAAATGAACATAATAGATGAGTATGCCACCAAAACCTTGCTGGGTTCCTTATATAGGAAACATTTTTAATGATTGGCTTAATGAACCGACCTGTATTGGAATGTTTATTATGTGAAGTGCCTTGAGATGACTCATGTCATGATTTGGCGCAATATAAATAAAATTGAATTGAATTGACGCTAACTGCACAATCATCTAACCCTAGTTACTGTCAGAGCTAGCCTGAGCTACTAACATCCTTGTTGGACGAGAGGAAAACAAAGATGAATGTTGGAGCTGAACTCACGTTCCAGGATTTACTGGGAATATCCAGAGCATGAATGAATGCCAGATAAATCCACAGCTTACGGTCCTTATTCTGTTCCTCATTCATCTGAAAACACCAGCTCCATAACCAGCTGGACACTCCAAAGAGGTTTTAAATCTGGTAACGCTCGGCCCGGCCCGCATTGCATACATTGTTTTGATACCTGTGTGGCCAGGTACTTTTCCCTATCCTACCAGGTGGTTTTTCAGCCCTTATCCTCTGGCTGGTCCGGGCCAACATGCCCACTACGACTGATTGGCCGGCTCAAATACATGCCTACCGTTAGGGGAGCCTCCGATCGGCGGATAGAATCAACCAGCGGGGACTTCCCGCATGCGCGATTCATTATCATTCGGAATGCTGAGACGTAAACATCGTCTCTGACTGAAGCTGCAGCAGCTCGCTATCTCTTTCTCACTGCTGTGAGCACACACACACGCTCACAGCCGCCTTCGTTTAAGGGAGACACCGTGGACTTTTCCGCCCGTCTTTTGCCCCGCCCACTTGCTCGAAGATCTCTTTGTTCCTGAGAAGTGTGTGTGAACAAATCCTACTGGTGCGGGAGCCAGACCGACGCTACCCAGCTCGATCTGTGCTGGCCCAGATGGGAAACTTTGTTCTTTCTTTGTCCACACTCCTGTAACCCACCACCACCTCACAATGAGAACAAGTCTTAATGGCCTCTAAAAACTCCCTATCCAGATTCTACCATCGGTGTGATCTTCACACTTCACATTTATTGAGAAGCATTATGCATGAGTGCCACTGCCCTATTTAAATGTCTATTCAGCAGTCACACTGTCCTTCACTTTACCATGAGCTGTGCGTTATGGACATGCCATGGTGCTTGTCCGATAATTCTGTATAATGTGTAATGTAATTGCAATGTAATAGGACGTGCCTATGAATACTGTGAAAAGCAACTTATCATTCAGGTTCACATTTTTCTTCTCAATTCAGGAATGGGTGGGTGCTCACTGTTAGTTTTGTGTGTGTGGGGGGGTCTACAAGTCTAAAAATATTTAAAAAATTGCGCACATTTTCCTGTCACATTTCATTTTTTTCCATAAATCTAATTTTGCGTAGAGACTTGTGCAATTTTCAGATCCAGTTTTGTGCATATGCAAACATTATAAATGAGGTCCGTGATCATTTTGACCAATTGAATAAATCAGAGCAGATTTACCCTGATAAGTGAGAAACCCCTCCTGTTGCACAGTTAACTTAGACAATATGTTGCATGATAGACCACATACACTCCAGATTGGTGATAATTCATGATTGGGGTGGGATGTGTTTTCTTGGAATGTTGCAGAACCTCCACCGAGTCCAACTGGTCGGGTGGAAGGTGAAATGAAGCTCTCAATCTCGTACAGAAACAGCAACCTCTTTATCATGGTCATGCACATCAAAGAGCTGGTAAGCACACCTCCACAGATTCTGTTTTATCAGATAGATGCTGCTTCCATGTTACTAACCTGTGTTTCCTCTTTCCGCGCTTTAGGTTGCCGAAGATGGAACAGAACCAAACCCGTATGTAAAAACCTACCTGCTTCCAGATCCACACAAGACTTCCAAACGCAAGACGAAGATCACCAGGAAAACCAGAAATCCCACTTTTAATGAGATGGTTAGGAAACATTAAACACATTAATTCTTCACATACATTCTAATTGCAAAACTGTAAAGAAGTTACTTAGTTTTACGTCTGTCTCCTCAGCTGGTGTACAGCGGCTACAGCAAAGAAACACTGGGCCTGCGAGAACTCCAACTGAGCGTGCTCAGTGCTGAATCACTACGTGAGAATTACTTTCTGGGTGGAATCAGGCTCAGACTCAAAGACTTTGACCTCAACAAGGAGACGGTCAAGTGGTACAAACTGACAACCGTGCCCTACTTCTGACCCCTGACATTCCGGAGCCGATGCATTTAGATCATGTGGGAACCGCTGCAGGGGCGACCTTACTTGAAAATACTGGTCACCTCAGCTTTTACTTAAAAAACAGGCTTCTCCCAAACTTCTATGGGTTTGAATTGGTCTCATATTTTCATAGAGATGGTTAACAACATTATCACATTAGAAATGTAAGCAGAATGATTTTACCTTGTAACAACTGACCATTTGCTTCACATGACTGGTGTTGTTAGGGGCTGTGCTCATGGCTTGAAATCATGTGTTATACATTATCACACCCTCAGTGACCCGATTCTGTTGAACTTTATGAGATTTCTTATTCTTATGCCGCTCTACAGGTTATTCCCATATGACATGAATGTGTCTAGATAATGAACAAACCCTGAAAAAGAAGCCGCCTTTGTTTTCATTTTTCTCACTTTGACACTAAAACAATCTGGACTTGTTTTAAACAATCTCCTTCTTTTGTCCCTTTTCTTAAGTGTAATAGAGACTAATAATCTTTTGACACAACAGGACCAAAACAGATTACATTCAGAAGAGGATTTTAATAGACTGATGTTTTGTAAGAATAAAAACGGGGGAAGATTTGTACAAAACAACGTGTCCAGCTTTTCAGCTAACATCTCTACATGGACTAGCACATCCAAACAGATCAGAGAAAATTCACTCATTTACAGATTCCCGCTCAAAAAATGTGCCAAAATTACCAAAAATCCAAGCAGTCTCCCTTGTAGGGAGCATATCAGGGTGCCTTTTTCACTCTCTCTTCTGTGATGACCAACTTAGCCTTATTATTAAATGTACTTTCTTAATGTAAAATGTACTTATTAGAGAAAATTATATTCTATAGGACTTTATTCATATTTCCTCCAGGGCCAGTCTGGAGTCGCACCAGAACAAAGATTTTGTACCAGGGTTTTTTGTCCCTAAATCAGAACTTGGCCCTTCTGTCCTGCTTATTCCTGCTGGTTTCACACATTGCATCTTAAAGGGGAAACGGTATCATGTTCTTGTGTGTGTTCAGATTAATGATTGAGGTTGCCGAATGAATCACGAGTCACTTCATATGGTTCAGAAAGTGAACCCCTCCTGGAATCAGGACATCGAGGCTACAGTGGGGCAAAAAAGTATTTAGTCAGCCACCGATTGTGCAAGTTCTCCCACTTAAAATGATGACAGAAGTCAGTAATTTACATCATAGGTTCACTTCAACTGTGAGAGACAAAATGTGAAAAAAAATCCATGAATTCACATGGCAGGATTTTTAAAGAATTTATTTGTAAATCAGGGTGGAAAATAAGTATTTGGTCACTTCAAACAAGGAAAATCTCTGGCTCTCACAGACCTGTAACGTCTTCTGCCCAAATGTGGTGTCATGATGCAGTGGCAAACGGTCAGCAGGAACTACTGCTGAAGTCCAGGAGCAGCAAGGTTTTATAAAATATTCTGAATGTTCAATAACTGATGTAAAGCTTCTTTACGAAAAGGGAACAAACTCCTGTGCAAAGTAAAACCTGCTTTCCTCAACACAGAACTATAAATCCGAGGTTATTTTGATGTTTCATTTATTGTGAGGGTTTTTACAGATCTTTAAGACACGTATGTCACGCTATAAATATTACTGCCTTGATTTTAGTAACTGTACAAAGACAACTAAGAGTTTGTTTTAACATGGCCAGTTATTTATTTTAATTGGTAACCTCTAGCCTGAATGAATTAGTGTGTACTGTAATCCCTCAATTTCATAAAGCAAAATAAATGTTTTTGGGACAAATGTAAATTTTGATTATTTGTGTTTGTGTTAAATCTTTAAAAGTAGTCCAACTTCATCATTTGTTCTAAAGTGATAGTTAAGCTCCCATTCAGTGTCCACCGATCCACCACTTTTCCTCCTCTTCTTCAGGATCGGGTCACGGGAGCAACAGCCTACCCTTAAGCAAGAAAAATATATGTAACCATATATTGATAAGCAATGTATGGATGCCAAAATGTAGGAAAATCTGAGGTCAGAAATATATAGACAATGTACCAGCGTAACATATAGCAATATATGTAGTAATACATAAGGAATTGTCGCTTTTCTTATTTTGGCGAATGTATTCTTATACATTTACGTAAGTGACCCATCATGTAAAAAATTCTATACCACTGAACTATATTGTGGGATATATATTTACTGATATACCAGCGTAATATATAGCAATATATGTAGTAATACATAAGGAATTGTCACTTTTCTTATATTGGTGAACATATTCTGTTATATATTTACGTAAGTGACCCGTCATATAAGAAATACCACTGAAATATATTGTCATAAATCTAATTATATATCTTTATAATATATTACAGTATATGTAATAGTACATAAGTGCTGCTTTTCATATACTACGATTTACATAAAATTATATGTTACATATAGATATGTGATAGTATAATACTTTACATATAGATACATTTTGTCATATCTTTCATTTATTAAAATTGATTAACTAAATGGGCAATTTTTCATATTATGTAATTTCTTGCTATAGATGGCCTATATCTCCACATATACATGATTTCATCTGGCTGTTTATTCTTTATATATTTTTGACCCATCTCTGAATGCTATACCTCTCATGTATATATAAATATATATGTATGTATACATTTGTATGTGTATGAATATATTACATATATTCTCACATATTCTGATATTTGGTGTTCATGTAACTTTGCATACATTTTAGAATGATTTCAGATTTTTATATATTGGATAATATTGTTCAATATATTACTGTATATTTTACAATTGTTCCAATATATTTTTCTTCCGTAAGGGTAAGCAGAGAAAACCAGACTTCCCTCTCCCCAGCCACTTGGGCCAGCTCCTCCGGGGGTTCCCAAGGCATTCCCTGGCAAGCTGAGAAACAGTCCCTCCAGCGTGTCCTGGGTCTTCCTTTAAGTCTTCTCCCAGCTGGATGTGCCCGGATTACCTGACCAGGGAGGCATCCAGGAGCCATCCTAACAAACACCTGCACCACCTCAACTGGCTCCACTACAAGTTGAGGAGCAGCAGATCTACTCCAAACCCCTCCCGCATGAAAGAGTTTCTCACCTTAACTCCAAGGGAGAACCCAGACACTCTCGGGAGAAAACTCATTTGGGCCTTATATATCTGATCTCATTCTGTCACTACTTAAAGCTCATGACTATAGGTGAGGGTTAGAACTGAAATCGAGAGCTTTGAGCTCTCTGTTTACCATGACAGATCCGTACAACGCCCGCATCGCTGCAGATGCAGCACCAATTAGTCTATCTGCTCCATCTTTTCCTCACTCGTGAACAAGACGAGATACTTAAAATCCTCCAGTCAGTGCAGGACATCATCCCTGACTGAGAGAAGATATTCAGTTCCATGGTCTCAGATCTGGAGGAGCCGATTCTCATGCAGGCTGCTTCTCACGGCTGTGAACTGCTTCAGCAATGAATGGCCTTCCAATAATGCATTTTTGAGTCAAGAGCACTAGTGTTTCTACACTGCAGCCACACAATCTATGCCACCATTACTGAGAATATAAAAATTTGGATGCTTGTGTGGCAAGAATGTGGATATAAATAATTTAATGATAAAGTGCTAGGACAACGCCACCCTGGGTAACACTGCAACAGCATATGCAGCTCTGGTCCAGGGGCGTGTCCAGGGAGTGGCCTGGGGTAGCACATGCCACCCTTGGAATCTGATTGGCCACCCCAGGTGCCACCACACTAATTTACCTTTAAATAGGCTTTTTTCATTGTCCACAAAAGGCTTGGGGGTAAAACAAAAAAAAAAAGCATAACTATTGGTGCCACTCATGCACAAAGTTGTGCCTCACCTGGGCCACCCCATTTTAAAAGATCTGGACACGCCACTGCTCCGGTCTGCGATCACACAATACAAAACACTTTAAGATGGAGCAACGAGCTTTAGTTAATGCCACACAACACAGGAGGGAGAGTACTTACAATCGCTGCTTGCAGTTGGGGTTTCTCATTACCCCAGCACCTGAAGTGCCATACCAAAGCTGTCCCGCTGAAAGAGCAGGCAGCTGCCTTTTATGAGATGACTCACTTCACCCTGCAATCACTCTAAAGTGAGCCACCTGACTGGGATGGGAGCAGACGAAATCTGTCTGTCCCATCACACTTGATTAGATAGGCAGTATATATGCCAAGCTGTTTTATAAACTACGATAAGCTGCGTCTGCACAACTTTTTCAGAAAGTTGCAAAGACAAGAAAATATTCAGAGTAATGATCATTCATCAGTCCAATCTTTTTTTAACAGGAAGTAAGCCTCTTTGCGTAATAACGTCATTTCCGACGCAAGCGTAAAATCTTTTTTTCTGTCGCGTGTGCGGCCTCTCTTCCTCCACCGCCATCATGGGTCGCATGCACGCTCCCGGGTGAGTCCTCATTTTATTCCTTAAACCTCACTTTAACTGGTGTCAGACCGGTTGTGGTTCTCCATCACTGTTTGTAAAGACGCTTTGGTAAATTCCAGATAGAAATGTTCTTGTTTTTTCGTGCTCCGATGTGGAAAAAAGACATATGGTCGCATCATCAAATGGACATCCGTGTATCGCTAGCTAGTTAGCATAGCTGTGTGATTTACCGCAACTCGTTACTCTGTAAATTAATGTTGCAGATCAGAAATGCACAGTAAAATAACTAAACACGATACCACTGTTTTAATGTAAGCACATTAGTCTTAGTTTTGCTTTTAAATGATACATGTCGTCAATACCGGGATAAAGTTAGCATTCTTTAGCCCATTTAGTCCCACGAGTTGGGGACGTGCCAATGCGTCAGTGTAAACTTATTATCCTGTAAATACAATTGTTATGGCTGTTGTTTTAAAGACTAAGCTGTGCACACTAATGCCGCTAGTTCTTGTCCTTCCACAGAAAGGGCTTGTCCCAGTCAGCTCTGCCTTACAGGCGCAGTGTCCCCACCGTGAGTACACCATACCCAACGTTAGTTACCCACGATAAGTTGGGTGTTCTCGTTGATAACATAAACTCTTCTTCATAGTGGCTGAAACTCACATCTGATGATGTCAAAGAGCAGATTTTCAAGCTAGCCAAAAAGGGTCTGACTCCCTCTCAGATTGGTAAGTGTTGGCCTGTGAGACTGATGACCATGTGATACTTTATTCTGGTTATTACCCGTTTAGGTTTCTAGTACACACACCATTTAGACACTGGAAAATATTTTGGGTGTAATGCATTAAAAGGGGACACTAGTTGTGACCTGTTGACATTCATGTCAAAGGGGTTTGATGAATGAGCAAAATTAGCTGCTTTCAAACATGCTCTTTTATATTTATCATTATAGATTGTGTGTGTCGCACAATTTTTTATATTATTGGTTAATTTGGCAGAAATCACCCTAAGATCCATAAATGAATCTTGCATTACGATTAAGACCCCAGTGTTGATACACATACACATATCAATCTTAAGTTTCTTGTGGCACTGTTAAGACATTAAGTGTTTAGACATGTGAGATCGGACAGTCCAACCAGTAAGCTCAAAAGCAAAATTTATTTAGAGCTGTGATTAATATTGCACCAACAGTCTTATCAACGTCCGTAAGGGACTGTTTTGTTGTTTATTGTGCTGTATGGATCCCCATTAGCTTCTACAGCAGTGGTTACTAATCTTCCTGGGGTCCATTTTCAAAATACATTTAACAATACAAATGATTAAAACATTACAAATTATTACAATAGGATTTTAAAAGCTGTAGTGGCCAACTAATACCATTGACAAGATCCCCCTTAACTTGCAGAGCTATCTGAAAGTACCTTTCTTCTTCTATCACAACTGCAAGAGCAAGACAATAACAGAAAATGCTTTTAATGCAGTAGCCTTTTTATGTTCTTCTTAAAAGAGCTCTGATTTTGGATTTCCCAAACACAACCTGGTAGTGTTTTCCACTCAACACTCACTCTATATAGAATGATTTTCTTCATAAGATTACTTCTAGGTCTTGGCACTATAACCATGTTATTGCTTACCAAGCGTGTTACGTGCTCATGGCAATATCCACTGAGTAATATTTAGTCTTTCATATGATGATGAATACTATTAATCATAACTTTTTGCATAAACATCAGAAGACTATATTTTACTTTTGCCTCCACAGTTAACCAAGACAACGTAAAATGCATCTCGTGCACATTAGTTTGAAGAGGACAGTTCAAAACTACTCTGGCTGCTCTGTTCTGAGCTATTTGCAGTTTTCTTAGATGTTTTTGGGCCGTGCTGGACCAAACTACTGTACAGTACTGTAAATAGGGATGCACCGATGGATCGGCATTTGATCCCAATCGGCCTATAGCGCCTCGATCGGTTTGTCAAGTAAGGGTAAAAAAGTATCTGATTCGAAGGCTACTTGAGTACTCACCATCATCTGGTCTTATATTTTTAAAATGATGACATCAGACAAAAAATAAGTTATGGGCAAATACTGGTATTTTAAAGACTAAAGGGGAAAAATGTAAACAAATAAACAACACAATTACAAAATAACACATTTTAGGGAAAATTTAGACACTGAGGACAATATTTTCCTGAAATACAGGGTTTATTGTCTGAAAATGTAACACGTTTAAAAAAATACCGCAATAATACCGAAAACCGTGGTAATTTTGGTCACAATAACGTGAGGTTAAATTTTCACACCGTGACAACCGTAGACCCAACAGTTTGAATTTGGTGACCTGCTCCACCTTGGTATTATTAATTAGCAGATTTAGTCAAGTAGTCTTTGACATCTCGCAGCAGCAATACGTTATCAAACACTTAGTTTTGAAGATGTTTAATACCAATTAATTCTTCACCCAATCCACAGTTAGGAACTGTTGATAGATAACATCAGTATAAAATGTTTTTGGTGTCAGTTTAAAATTGGACCAACATATTCCTCATACATTTTAACTGGAGGAGTGTTTTTGTTTTCAGTTGGAAAAAATCTTTTTGCTTTACTCAGGAGAGTTTGGACTGTGGTTGGTGTGTAAAGCCTTGTTTATACTCCTGCCTCAGCACGTTTGCACCCATACGCATTGACAGACGTTTTCCTTTTATACATCTGTTGGTGTCAGTGTTTTGAAGCAATTCTCCACCAGGACAGCAGAGGGTGTAGCGCTTTATGTATTTCACAGACTTGTAAACACTGACAAGTGGGTTCTCTGCCTCTTCATCCAATCACCACTTCTAAACTCTTGTTTCCTGTCCTTATCACAGAATGCATGAATATATATTATTTTTGCAGATGTTACAGGATCAAAAACTGGTTTTAATGGAAGTCAATTGAACGTTTTTGTCCTAAGGCCACAAGAGGGTGGTGTTTTTTTACTTTTCATATTGTTTGTCATTTTTCAAAATTCCAAACTGAATTTCAAAATTTGTCAAAGGTTTTGTGACCAAATTTTGCACCACATGCACAAACAATGCTAAAATGGTGTCCAAACAGGAACAACTGCCCAAAAACGTCCCAAATGACGCCTGAGGGATTAGAAGCAGCTGTGTGACCCCAGATGTTGGTTTTTTTAGGTCATTGTCACCCCAATAGTAGAAATGTCAAGTTAACAACACACCGATGGAGTGTAAGAATATGTTTTGTACTATATTGACATAAAAGTGGAACTTGCGTCCTTCCAGAGTTTCTTGCTCCTGGTTGATCAGGACTGGGAAATGTTACCAAAGTGTGAGAACTGCAGTAGTTAAACTTGTTCTCAAACATGTACAAACACTTTAATAGAACTTTATAGTAGAAGCATCTTGAAATAGTGGCCTTTAGGCATGGTGTAATTAATATTTTGCTCTTGATATTTAGTGCAAAATATAATTAAACTTCATACTAAAGTAAACCTGACCTAATTACAAAGCTGTAAATGCTGTTTTTAGTTGACTTCAGCAACAGGCTTTGTTGAGAAGGCTGTTTGTCTGCTGGATAATACTCTTAAGGTTTTGTAATTAAGACTCCGTATGATCCTTAAATAGCTTGCAGGTGATTTTCTGGATATGTTTTTATATTTCTCAATCATCAAAACAAGGTTATTATTGAAACACTGTTTGCGTTAGACAATAAAATGACTTGTTCCTGAAAGGGTGTGCAGGTTTTCTGGTGCATGATCCAAAGGCAAGTTTTACCTTATTGCAATTCAAAGTACAGTTTTACCTTTTCCCTCCTTTAGGTGTGATTCTGAGGGACTCCCATGGTGTGGCCCAGGTACGCTTTGTTACTGGCAACAAGATCCTGAGAATCCTCAAGTCCAAGGGTCTTGCTCCTGACCTGCCTGAGGATCTCTACCACCTCATCAAGAAGGCTGTGGCAGTCAGGAAGCACCTGGAGAGAAACAGAAAGGTGTGCAGAGGTTTACTTCGAACTCTAAAGCAGGATTTTAAGATTATATGGTGGATTTTTATTTCATGCTAAAGCAGCAGCATGCAGTTTGTTTACACTCTTGTGTGAAGTTTTTTTATATAGCACCTGAAGATAAAAAAAATCATAAGGCACTTTACTAGAACAAAAAAAACAATTAAAATGTTCATAAATTATTTTATAAAATCATAAACATAAGAAAAGAAACTAATTTTTAAAAATGAAAGGAAAGAGAAAATGAATAAAAAGAGGTACCGTATTTTCCGGACTATAAGTCGCACTTTTATTCATAGTCTGGCTGGTCCTGCAACTTGTATACCAAATCATGTAGGCTATACCGCGCTGCTGCAGGCCGGCTCCGGACCAGGAATGAGCTCCCCTGCCCCGCTGGGAATAAAAAACACACAGGCATCACCTGCTGGAGCCTGTTGCGCACTGGATCCGGCCCAGGTTTCAGTTCCTCTGCCCCACCAGCTCCTGTGGCGAGCTGCTGCAGACCGGCTGCGACCCAGGAATGAGCGCTGCTGCGCCCCAGTTGTTTATTCTGTTATTGTTACCAGTACTTGCGATGTGAAACGCTTTGTCTCAGATTTTGTAAGAAAAATAATAAAATTTCCCCCAAAATGCGACTTAGTCCAGTGCACCATATCTGTTTTTTTCTTCTTCTTTATTATACATTTTATGGCTGGTGCGACTTATACTCCGGAGCGTCTTAGTCCGGAAAAAAACGGTAATCAGTGTATCCTAAGAAAGGTAGAATTTGTAGAGCAGAATAGCGGGAGGGTGGTGATGAACGTCACACCAAAGCCAGCCTGAACAGGCGAGTTTTCAGCTGCTTTTTAAAGGAGACCACTACTGACCTCAGCTCATGGGGAAGAGAGGTCCAGGGTCTGAATGAGAACTGGGTTTATAAAAACAAAAGTTGTTCATAATTGTGTGGCGCTTTAGTGAACAGTCATGAAATGTTTACTCAAGCTTTAATCATAAATATTAATTTTTGTTTTATTTAAATGTAAAGACATCACATTGCCTTGTAGTAGCTTATTTGTGAGTTCAGGGTATCCGCGGGTCCTTAAAAAGTCTTAAATTAGCTTTTCCTAATTTAAGGCCTTAAAAGTCCTTAAAAATGACAAATAATCCTTAAATCCAGTTTCCAGAGGTCTTAAATTACCAAACACCCAATTAACAAGATTCTTTTATTTCTATAAAAATTTCGTGAATTTCAAGTTGGTGTTCAGCATTTTTTGTGTATGATGTTGGTGTAAGCGGAACCGTACGCAGTCAGCTGGTTGTGAAAGGGGGGCTATTTTTAGATGAGCACATTAGCTGGTTAAGCTAGTGGGAGCTTGCGCCATGGGGAAGGGCAAGTTTAATGGTAACTAGATGGCTAATCCCATGTTCGCAACGTGGTTAGCACCGGTTCCAGGCAATAGCTGGAAATTATCGCTTAAATTTAATTTTTAAAATAGCTTAAATTTGGTCAAAGTGGCCTTAAAAAAGGTCTTAAAAAGTCTTAAGTCTGGCTCCCTGAATTCTGCAGATACCCTGGAGTTTATGATGCGCTGATATGCATATGTGGACAAACTAACTCACTTCTTATATTACTATACTCGCAGGACAAGGATGCCAAGTTCCGACTGATTCTCATTGAGAGCAGGATCCACAGGCTGGCCCGTTACTACAAGACCAAGCGGGTACTGGCCCCCAACTGGAAATAGTGAGTTTTACTGCTGCCCAGTTTCTCCTCTTTAGCTGGTTATCTAAAATGTGAATACGCTGGAAGAATGTAATTCAGTGTCACAAGTTTCTTCCATGGCATACATTTCCAAGAAGTAATGATGAAATCGTACGCACAGTTCATTGTCCTGCTCTTTATTTTTTGAGAGTAGTGATATTTCTGTTGTGCAAGAAAAAGCTGGAGGTAAATTAGCAGAGTGGCTACTTGGTGCCGTCTCTGCCAGTCCCCTTCACACACACATCATTATGAGTGACAAACATTTGAACAGCTACATGTTAATACATTGTTTATACATAATAAGGTGTTCAGTTGAGTCTAATGAAATGACTTAACTTTAATTTTTTGTTTTTGTTTACAGTGAGTCCTCTACTGCCTCTGCTCTGGTGGCATAAACTACACTTTTGGATTAATAAAGTTGTTGACATTTAGAAATGTGTAGTTGTCTTTATTAAACAGCTGGGGTTCTTAAAAGTGCTTATTCCTTTAAAATGCTGGAAGTTGATATTTTCACAATGTAGCTTGAAATGTCAAATGAATAAATCTGTTCAAAGACAACAAAACATGGGTCTGGGAGGCAAATGAGCAGGGTGTGTCTGAATGACAGGAACATAATTGCGTTTGGTAAAGTGTTAAAGTTGGGTTTGAGTTATTAACATAGTGGAGTTGATATGAAACCGAAGCTTGTGGTGGAAATTTGTGGGGAATTTGTTTTCATTCAAATATAGCCTTTACGTCAGGAAATTACCGGCACTTTCTACGCGTCATACGTGATTGGGAGGGGCCTGTTTCGTCTTGTCAGTGATTGACAGCTGCTGAGTCCAACCCCAGCCAGGCGTGACGTCAAATGGCTTACTTAAGAGCGATGGCGCAACCCAGAGACATCCAGTGCTTATTTCTACAAAGACGATAGCGCGTAAACATGGAGAAACTGTACGAAAGAATCTGACGGAGACCAAGATGGCGCAGAACAGCCAGAAGATGAAGCGACAGCAGCTAAACGCAAATTTGTCGCCGACACATACGCGGAGTCTCTTGGTTTTCGACGAGGAATACCAGAATACGTGAGGATTTTGTCGTGACCGTTCAGTCCGAGAAGAAAAGCGGAAAATGGCTCCGACTGTTTCCGAGGGGGGCTCCGAGCGATCGGCCATGGAGAGGTTTGGTAGCGGGGGGATGGCGCTTCTTCCCTGGACCAAACAGATGCTGACCGTGCTGTGGGAACACCTCCGGCTCCTGGTTCAGGTCATCTACTACACTTTCTTGTCAGGTGAGTCCCAGAAGGAAACAAACGGCTGTTCTCTCTGCTGGATCAGCTCTTAAGTTTCCATTACCACCCTGAAACTTGAGCTAATGTTGAAGAATGTCATGTTATAAATGATAAAAAACTATGCTATCAGAAAAATGTAAAGGCGTCAGTTTTAAATGCTTTTTCCTAAAGAGCTTAAATGTATGAAGACATTTTCTAAAACTGAATTCAGATCCATCCTCAAACTGCTTTTCTTTGTCCAGTTTTTCAGATGTTCAGGTTTGAGCTTCATGTGAGGATCACTGATGAATCAGGAGAACACATCCAGCATATGGGCACAGGAGAACCAGAGTCCTTCCTCTTCTCTTCACTGTTCGACGGAGAAAACGGAGTCATGGTTGGCGGTTCCAATCCCCTCTCCACCTTCTGTGCAGATGTTGGTGACCCCTTCACCGGGAAGTCCACCGCTGAGGCCCTACTGTCCAGTCTGCGTGGAGACGATCTGTGCTGTGGACTCGTGGAGGACTTTGTGTCCAGATCAGCTGGCAAAGAGGACAGCATCCTGCTGGGACACCAGTCCACCTGGAAGATGGGATTTCCTGGAGACTGGAACATCTTTGTGTCGAGCAGCGACGGCTCCAGTTCCACCGACGCCTGTCATAAACGCAGCGAGAAAATTTCCAAGCCAGATTTATCCAAAGAGAAGGTTTTCAAACAGGATACTTCAGAGGAGGAGAGAAGTTCTCACTGGAGCAGCGAGGAAGACCAGAACCTAGTGGAATTTGAGAGTGAAGAAAGTAAGGCACTTTGGGAGTCACTGTCCAAATCCAGTGATCCGTACAACCCTTTCTTTTTCTCTGCCTGCATTTCAACCAAGTCAGACATGGGGCAAAGCAAGAGTGAAGGCGGAGAGGGCACCGATTCTGACCTGACGGTGACCAAGGCTGGTGAAGTGCTGTTGGGGCCTCCAAAGCTGAATATGTGGGTCTGTCATTCTGACAGTGAGAGCAGCTGGAGCAGCTGGGCCAGTTCAGATGGTTCAAGCCCCGACATCGACAAGGAGGAGAACGAGCGGCTCTGGGACTTCTTCAGCAGCCCTGAAGACCCCTACAACCCACTGTGTTTCACCGCCACCTCAGCCACTGTGTCTCAACGACCAGCTCCTCTTCCTGCTCCTCCCCCTAAATCCGACACGGACTCTGAAGACAAGGAAAGCAGCTTTGCTACATCCGACGATGACGAGGAAGAACTGCTGTGGAATTCCCTCAGCCAAAAGGATGACCCCTACCACCCGTTAAACTTCCAGGCCTGTCTCCAGAGCTCCTTGACTACTGCCCAGCATGAGAATACTACTGTCTTTAATACACTCCACACAGAAAATCTATCCACAGAGACAAAGAAGAAGCCAAAAGCATTCAGAAAATCCAGATCTGCTGAATCTCGGCCTGCTCTGACGGAAAGAAATTTGAAGCAGCACAGCCATCCGGATAAAACTCTAGTTCCCTGGAAAAGACCCGAGCAGAGCCCACCTGTGGAGAAGAGAATCAAGGCCAGCTCCACACAGAAAAAGGTTCTTACCTACTAAAACTATCTTCCACATGAGTTAGAAGAAGCAATCAGCGGGAGCATCATTGAGCCTTAGCTTAGTTTATCAAAGCAGCTGTAGTGGTGAAGGAAAGTCAGCACACTGATGATCTATAGGTTCAGAAAAACGGCCTTGGTCGCACTTCCTGGTTTAGTCTGTCAGGACAGAGAGTAGAGCGTAGGTCAAGCAATTCAGTCTAAGTTTAGCCTTAAAGGGGAGGGGCCTTGCTCTGCTGATGCTGACAGGCTCCTGTGACAGAAAGCCAGAGATAAGACGGTTCCTGTCTGACACACACACGAGTTGAGCTGTGTGTTTGTTTTTGGTTAGTAACATGCTGGTCGCCATGACTAAGGCAATCACATGACACCGAGGAGTCAGCAGAGACTGCTAACCACATGGAGTCAGCTGTACTGCAGTCATTCTGAAGGTTACATCAGACACAGGCTGAGGTGTGATCAGGTTACATCAGCAGAGGAGCTCAGCTATGTTTTAATGAAAGTTTTAGGAGGATTTTCAGGTTCCACTAAGAGCTAAACTGCTGCCATGTTTGTTTGTTTTTTGGAGAACTTCTAGAATCTAAAGGTGTTTTTCTTTTCCTCTGTGTTCCAGGTGCAGTTTTCTCCTCTGGTCCAAGTTCATGTCATGCGGACCTGGCCGTTTGCTCGCCAGGCATCCCGTAAAGGACACTGGGAAGAACTGGCCCGAGACCGGGACCGCTTCAGGAGGCGGGTTTTGGACACGGAGCGGGCCATCGGTAACTGTTTCACCCAGTCCCACAGAGAGAAGATGCGGGCATTTGTGGACGGTGCCTTGAAGCAAATGAAGGGTCCTGATCTCTGAGTGTCTCATTTCCTGTGTGGATGAGAACTTGTGATTGGTTGCAATGCAACAGCGGTGTTTGGTTTAGGCCAGATAGGAGTTTGATCTGAGGCCATTTTTAATGTTTGGTGTCCCGTTGAACAACTTTGTACCTCAGAGGTTTTCTACGTTGTGTAGCTGTTGCACTGACTGACACGTTCTCCTGATAGCCTCAGCATTAACGTGTGGAATGTTTTGTATGCCTTATACTCTGACCTAGTAATGTAACTTATTCATGCCCTATGGAGCTTGTTTATTTTTACTGATCATTTCAGGTTTTTATAAATGTGTGTGAGGAAACCACAGTTCTGAGTAGAAGTTTAAAATAGACGACCGAGTCCTAAAGACAGCAGAGCTTCACATTACAAAGTGTTTTAATCACATATTTAAGCATGGTGCAGACATATAGAGTTTGGTGCAATCCTGGGTGTACTGTTGACATGTTTTATGCCTTGATTTGTACTTTTTATTTTTATTTTGTCCTGTATTTTTTATTTTCTATCACTGCAGACATTTGCGAGCTCTTAGTAACAAGTGAGGACAAACGAGCAACTCCGATCCGGGCTGATTAGACTCATTCTGATTAAAATGACTCGCTCAGCTTATCGTGATGTGTACTCAGAAGTCTGTTCATAGCAAGCTAATTGTTCTTTGTGGAATCAATAAAATGTGTTAGTTAATTTTTTGGTTTACAGTTTTTTTTCCCATCCTGACCAAAATGTTTGTTTGCTCAAGGGTTAGGAATTCATCCTGTAACCAGTGGGTTGCTGGTTCCAACCCAGGCTCCAACCGTGTTAATCGTATCCTTGGTCCAGACACTTCATGCTCCTTGCCTGCTGGTGGTCGTAGTAGAGACTGGCGGTGAACGGCCGGGTGACTCGTTTAACGTGCTTTTCATGAGCGGTTCGTTTATCATAAACCAGTTAGACAAAATGAGTTTTCTAGGCAGCGTTAGCTGACTGCCATCTTGGATTATAGCTGTAGATGTTCATCCAATGATCACTTCCTAGTAGTTTCATTAAAATACACCTATTGGTTTGTGAGCACTAAGCAAGTGTACACACACACACACACACATAGATGCTGATAAGCACAAGTGGTACTCTTGTTATTTGGTGGTGGGTAACTGAAAAACATTTATTTCGGATGTTAAACATTTCTGTATACAAGACAGTAAGTGTGATATAAAAAAATGTATATAGTGCCTCAAGATGAGAATCACGAGGCGCTTCACATAAACAAAAAACAATCAAAAATAAGTTCAAAATGAGAAAAACAATGTTAGGAAAGGGAGGGAGAAAATTAATAGAAATGAGGGAAATCAGTGGATTAGGAGGAATAAGTAGAAAGAGCCAGATAAGGAGAGGGTGATGAAGGTCACACCAAAGCCTGAACAAGTGAGTCTTCAGCTGCTTTTTAAAGGAGACCACTGAGTCCACTGATCTCAGGCTCAGGGGAGAGTTCCAGAGTCTGGGGGCCACAACAGCAAATGATCTGTCACCTTTGACCTTTAGCCTGGTGCTGCACAACCACAGGCCCACCAACCACACTTTACTGAACATAAACATTATTCGTTCTGTCTCTGATTGGCTAAAACAATTCTTGAAATGCTGAAGAACATAAACATAATTTAAATGTCTCAACCACCAAAAACCTTCACGGTTTAACCTTCGACCTCATCTGTGCTCCACCCAACTGTTCTGCTGTGTGTGTGGAGCAGCTGATGTCACTCTGGGTGTGAGTTTTAACGGCTTGTTTCATCCTGTCTGCTTCATATGAGGCAATTCAACCCAAAACCCTTCTGTTGATTAAAAGAACCAGTGTACTGTCAACCAGTCTTATTCAGAACCATCGTTCAGAACATGTGGAATTAAACGTGTGTTCATGTGTCTCACAGCGCTGAAGCTCTCTTCAGTGAGCATAAAACATTATAGATCCTGTTTACAGTCTGCAAATGTTAAAATTTCTATCTGATCATGTTCCTGTTTCTATCCCCCCCCCCCCACACACACACACACACACACACACACGGGAGTTCCCAGTGGGGATGAGAGTCTCCGCGTGTACTGGCTGCTGTAAAGCTGTCATCAGACCAGAGGTAAAAACACAAAGCATGATGAAATGATGCTCCTGAGGGGTGAAATCAATTAGCATGCTCCCCCCACCCCACCCACCCACCCACCCACACAGCATGGTGCAAAGGTGAGCAATTAACACGTGTCAACTCAGCAGTGTGTCCTCTGCTGATGTCCCTGTGCCTCCACCCTGCGTGCTGGGTGTGTCATCCATCACTCGCTGATCGAACTCTGGAAAAAAAAGTCAACGTGTTTAAAATGGGTCAAAAATCATGAAAACAATCTTTAATAGTTTATGCTCTGTTAGGTTTTGATATTGATAGCTTGAAGCTTTTGCCAAGATTAGCACCAGGAATAAATCTGCCCTGGGATTACAGCTGAAACAGTCAGAACCAGAGGCCTAAACCTTCTGATGCATAATATATGGAAACATGAAAGTCAGACCAATGCAAATGAGGAAGAATGATGTAGAAGAAAAACAAATCAGTGTGTGGCGTGGTGGCTGCTAATGGCATACCACCTTTATCATTTAAAGACAAACACATAGGTCTAGGTTACTTTTGATTTCAAGCTCCTTCTCACAAAATCAAAAGTCCTTTAAGGAGCTTTTCTCGCTTTATGAATAAATTACGTGCAGCCAATCAAAACATGTTATTCAGAGATAGTAATCCAGGTCATGTTGATCCTAGGAGATTAGAAAGAAGTTAGCCTCTCGCCTTTTGAATTCTTTTAAAAACATCACAAGTCCAGTTGCTTTTTAACTAGACTCTTGGGTATACAGCATGTTTAGAGTTTTACAGATGCCGTGCTTCCTTGCAGAGTGATGCCACTGACTGAAAAACAAACTCATACCAGATGTTACACTACAATTAAAATATGGAGGACAGTAACATGGCACAGCACAATATCTAAACTTTATTGCCTGTTATTTTTTATCGTCTTCTTGGTGTCCTGCTGTATTTTTCCCGCTAAGAAGCTGTTTTATCCAGAGCTGGTTCTGTGTCTTGCCCAATGGCACTTCAACTAAAATGCTTCAACCTAAGACCTCCAACTCACAGAGTTAACACCATAGATCATATAGTTTCTCCACCTGCTCCACCCTTCCGATTCTTGCATCCCTTCCTCTCTAAGCATCGTTGTCTGCATGGTTCTCATCCTCTCCCAGCAGCATGAGCCGTGTGGCCTAGGCGACCGCGTCTCTTGGCAACCGGATGGAGCAGCGAGGTGTTGAAAGGATTGCTGGTGATTGCAGCAGAGGTAAGACTCCGCAGTAGCAGGGGCAGTCGGTTTTCACTTACACAAACACACATGCACGCACGCACCGAGCACGTGCACACACACACACACACGATGGCCCCCTCTAAATTGCTTGCTAGAGGAGGCTATCTCAGGGGTCACAATTAACTGATGATGCAACCAACCAGCAGCTATTGTGTCTTACAGCAGCTCACACAGGCAGACGGCACGCAACACAACAGGCAGCAGGTTCATTCTTCCTGCACAGATACATCAAATGGATCCCCCTGATACTTCATTTTACTTCCCAGTTTACTAAATCTGCACCACTGATTCTCAGTTCTTCTGGACATTTTAGTTGTTGCACATTTGCACTTTCTGAGCGCACCCCATCAGATTTATTTTTGGTTTAAAATCAGCATTTTGAATCCTGAGGAGCTCTTCATTTACATGTTAGGGCGCTAAGCAACAAGAATAACAAAAGAAGAAATCGCTGATGCAGCCGCCACAGAATAAGGATGAAGTAAACACCAAGATGTGGTTACATGTGATACACACTTATCTGTTAAGATGTGGATTAGTGTCTGACCAACACTCAGACAGACAGTGGGTGGGTTAAATCCAGTGGGCGTAGTATACCCTTTGCACCACTGGAGGACACACAGCTCTCCTCCAGCACAGACAGAAGGCATCGTTCATGACAACAGGAAGAAGTCATCACAGTTTTTACATTTCATAAAGAGAGAGCTCACTGTAAAAAAGTTCAACCCTAGGCTCTAGAAAAAGGTCTATAAAAATAATAAATTCTAAAGATCAAAGTCTAAAAAAGGAAGTGGTTTTTACATCCAGTAGCATCGGAGTTGAATACATAGACATCATCGTAGTTGTGCTGCTCTCATGCGGAGAACCTGGAAATAGCATTGCTCACTCAGAACTGGGACTAAACAAGGCACGTGATCCCTGTGTAACTGGAACAGTCTGCTACTTTACAAGCTGCAGAGATGCGTCATCCAAGACAGTCCTCCATCAATAGCCTTGAGATACCTGGCACAGACCTCATCAACCCAAAAGGTCCACCACTGTGTAGACTCTTAACTGCTTCAGCGACTTCTGCTCCAGAGACTGATTGACTGATCTCTAGGTCCATCAACTCTGGTTCTTCACTGGAGCACGTTGGTGGGATCAAGGATCTTTCCAAAGCCCGATTCTTCTCAGGGAACATCTGCAGCCATCCATTAACACTGTTTGTGTGAGCCAGTTACTGCCTTAGCTTCCTGAGATGTTGGTTTGCCACAAACTCTTTGGAACCAACTGATACTCTTCTTCCGTAGCTTCACCAAAGTCCTGCCCTCAGCAACCCCCTCTGCTGCTCACTGATTGGCCCTTTGGTACTTACCTGCTTCTTTTGGAGAACCACAGACCAACACCGTCCAGTTGGTACCATGTGTTGATGGGCATTCATATGTTCAAACATGGTGTTCATTATAGTCTAAAAAACAAACACAGAAGTCCAATAACAGAAAACCTCTCTGGTTCAGGTCTGGGGGGTCGTTCCAAGTAATTGATATGATAAATTCACCAGTCTATAAGTGTTTTAAGCAACAGTTGGTGCTCATAAACACTCTTCTGCAGATATCTGTAAATGTTTTCCAACTCTGCACCGTCCTGGACAGTTTTAAGCAAAGACTTGTGTAACATGTAGAGTGAGGAGTGTGTGATGACTCTCGGGTCCCCGTTGACTCGTTTTCCAAACCGCTGTAGCCTCAGTAGGGTCACAGGAAGCTGGTGGTCATGTCCTGCAGTCATCAGGAGACACTCTGGACAGGTCAGCAGGTCATCACAAGGCCAGGGCATGGAGCCATACCTTCTAGATCCAGAGCCACGACTGGTTTCAACTAACCAAACCACTTCACACACAACTCACCAGTTTATCACGTTTTTGTAATCGCTGTTTATCTAAGATAAATACCTCCTCCCCTCAGAAGAATGTCTGAGCAACCTGAAACCAAACATCCCTGTTTGCCATATAATTGTTGAGCTCATTATATATATATATATATATATATATATATATATATAAATAAATAAATATAGTCTTTTCAGGCTCCTTCAGGCTGCCCCACAAACCTAGCAGCCATGCATCACTGGCTCCACATCTAAAGACACAATGGTGAGAACAGTTCCAGGAACAGCTTGCACTGAGCAGTTTGTGCATTTCTAATTTCCCTGCCACAGGAGCTTGTTGCTGCACAGCCACTAGATGATCCTCTCTTTATAAAGAACCTGAAAAGCCTTACTTATGCAGAACGACGAGCGGAAGAGGGACGGAGAGAACAGATAAAGGGTGGTATTGTTTCCAAGGATTTGGA